ATGCACAATTGGGTGCGGCTACGCCGCCATTCGGAAACTATTCTGGAAAAGCTTTCGGGGGTCAATTTGACCCCCCCCCCCCTCCCACCACCCGAGCGCGTGTTAATAGAAAGATGCTTATAACTCACTAACCACCCGTGGGCCTATCAGTGGCTGAACCAGCGGTCTGATCTGATTGAACATCACGACTGGAAACTGCAAACGGCTGGAGCTTCAATCCAGTGTTCAGTCAATCAATCCATTGTCCATGCTTGATACCTGTACCAGGATATATGCTAATGACGGCTATTTCAATAAAGCAAATAATCATCTTCATTAATATGAACACGACGTTGTCTGAACGCGAAAAAAAGGTGAGTCGGCTTCTAAACCTTTTTTTTCTTTCTCCAAATTTGGAATCGCTCCTCCACCCCTGATGCAGCATAGACAAACTTTCTCAAAACATCGGGATTTAATTAAGACGAGTAATTTTTCCGAACAAACACGACTCGTATCTGAATATCTAGGTTTGAAACATCATACTCATCTTAAGATCCGCACAACTGCCTTGATGCATTAAGTTTGGGCAAACACGTATTTAATGATTCGCTCATTTCGAAAGGCGTCGTTACCGTGTCTAACCTCAACATTATTGAGTGTAACTTTTCAAGGGCGTCACAAGGTACAAACCGCTATGTGTTGACTTAGCATTGAAAGGTGTTACGCGCTCGTTCCCTCGATTTAGATGCCCTCTTGTAAGCGCTGTCGGCCGTCTTACCAACACCGCTGGATGCATGCGATGACTCCTACATATTTTCGCAATGCTTTCCCGTGCCTCGTGCCGTACGACATTGGATGTAATCCTCCCCCCCCCCCCCCGATTTCCTTTACTGGTCAGACATTCCCACGCTTGGCACCTTTGGGAAATTGCCTAAGGCAAATCTGCACCTAGCTGTCATTCTGCACGACGCTTCACCCAAGTAATCCATGGATGTCATTTGCGGTCAATCACATGCTACTACAACCTCACCAGTGTATCCGCCCGGACCACTGAACCCTGCCGAAGTTTATTGACTCGACTGCTCGCTGTAGCGTACGCCCGGATGCCAGGTGGAGCCGTGTCGCCCCCCCCCCCCCCCCCCCGGCTGAGTGTGAGGCTGCTGTCGGCGGGGCGGTGACGGGAGTCCCGCTGCCCCTCGGAAGTCGACAGGTGTCGCTAGCAGGCAAGCGGTGCGACTCCCCCCCCCCCCCCCTCCCCATCCTGCCGGCGATGGTGTATCGGGGATTGTGTCGGTCTCCGTGTTCCGTCTCGTGAGGTTGGGACGTCTCGTGAGGTGACGTCTTGGGGTGCCTCGTGACATCGGCGCTTCCTACATCTTGTGAGATCAGGCTATGTTGCGTGGCCCGGGCGTCTCGTGAAATCGTCCTGGCCTGCTAGAGCTGGGCGTCTCTTGAAACCAACCTGGTCTGGTAGAGCTGGGCGTCTCGTGAAATCTCTTCGGCCTGCTAGAGCTGGGCGTCTCGTGAAACCATCCTGGCCTGTTAGAGCTGGGCGTTTCGTGAAATCGCTCTGGCCTGCTAGAGCTGGGCGTCTCGTGAAACCAACCTGGCCTGCTAGAGCTGGGCGTCTCGTGAAACCGCTCTGGCCCGCTAGAACTGGGCGTTTCGTGAAACCGCCCTGGCCGCTGGAGCTGGGCGTCTCGCGTGGTCTCGCAGTGTCATCAGGCTGCCCGCCGTGTTTTGGACTGGCTGGTGCGGCGGCCGGGCGGCTTCCTCAGCGCGGGATCCGGTGTCTCGACTCAGGACAACGACCTGGCGCCGGCCGGTGGTGGTGGGGTGCCGTTGTCGGCGCCCGGTGGTGATGGGGTGCCGTTGTCGGCCGGGGGCGATGGGGCGCCGGCCTGCGCAGTCCGTGCGTCGGCCGGCCGCTGCACGTGCCTACAGAGTGGTGACTGGCCTGCAGCGAACGCCTCCTGTGGTGGGGGGGGGGGGGGGGGGGCGCGTTGCGTCTAGTTCTAGTCCGATGAGGGGTCTGGGGGCTCTCGGATCCTTAGGGTGTGGCAAGAGGCTACATTCCAGCTGCATACACAATCAGTCTGTGCGTTTGACGTTTTGACGTTATTTTTTCGCTGTATGCAGATGGAAGTAGCATTATCACTGCCGCGTGTTGTTATGGCCTTTGCGGTTTATCATCAACTTGATCTTTTGTATGCTTCACCATCAGTGTCTCCTATGAACACTAGGCACTGGCTGACACGCGGAAATTATCGTGCAATCTAAGATGTAGAAAAATGTTCTGACCTTATGGAGAAGACTTAAGATTTTCTTTGAATCCTGCACCATTCATAAGTGGTGCATGCGTCCCTCACGTAGACAGCCTCTCCGAACCATTCCACGCTGTCTGTCCTTGGTGAGCAATGTTTGCCAAGGGCTTAATATCCTGTGATGTGTAATTTCCAGACTAAAAATTGTCTGCACGTAGGGACTGCTCCTCCATGTCCACCCTCATCGGCGCTTTGACCTGCATTGACCTTACTACCGGGCAAGAAAGGCGATCGGTGCCTTGTGGCTAGTTAATGTCGAACCAGCTTGATGATATGATTTGATGATTATCTGCATCTGACGATGTTTGGACACGGGAGCGCCGCAGTTCAGTCTCCTAGGACTTGGACTCTGATTCGGATTCAATCGGGGAGGGTTTTTTAGACCTGGCTAATGAATCGCACTGATAACAATCACTGGACCCGGAGCAGGACATTTACCCATGTGCATTACACGTCACGCACGTCAGTGACGAGGGTCGACTTGTACTCTGACTCGGCTCTTGTAGTTGCCGCATGCCTTCCTCTACGCGCTGACGTTCTCCTGAACGCTAGCCGTACGGTCGCTGCGCGTACGGTCGACGCCTCTGCCACCTAGTAGTGAAATGGGGAACATCAGGTTTAGCTGGTGTCCGTTGAGCCGGACCGTTCCCGAGTAACCTGTGTGGGCTGGCCGACCTCGATGGTGCATCGCGGTACGTGGCCAGCGCCGCGCATGCGCGCGTCTTGCGCGCGTGGGATGTTTAAGACGCTGAAACAAAAAAGTGTCCAGATTTGCACGGAGCAACATTGAAAATGATCGCGCAAGTGTATGTATGGAATGAATGGAGGAACATCGAGAGCATTTCCGGCGCCGGCTAGGTCGGCTCCTTACTTGCCAGAAGGGTCAGGGGCAATGAAAACGACCCATGAGCGCCCTGAGGAACCCTGAACACACAGAAGGACCCTAGACACAGAGAGTCCAGAGTGCAATTCCCTGAGCGGTCAATATGACTCCTGAATGACCAAAGGGCCCCTGAGTAGTCAGGTATTTTCGATATTCCCTGGTGCCGAGAAGAGAGTTAAGTGTTGGCAGCACCAGGCAGAGACTGAGGCTTAGCACAGAACGGTAAGGGGCCCCAAGTTATGGCAACGATCGGAGTACCCCTGGTGGCCGGGAAGGGGTCATTGAGCGGCCAGAGGGACCACGTGGTGGCGAGGCATTTAGCGAGTTGATTTTTGCCGGTCTGCGCGAACCTTAGAAGGCCATGGGCTTCTGCAACGTTTCCCCCTCGCCCATTTTCAACTCCCGTGGCATTTTATACATAGGCTCACAGGGTTTAGGAGGGGAGGGGGGCTGGGCCCCGACCGTCGCGGGACCTCCAGCCACGCATGGTGGGTCCTGAGCTGAGCCCGCCGCGAACCCGGCTCCGCTTGCAGGTCACTACGCCACCCGGATGGCGAACACGCTTTTCGAATACTAGAGATAAGTGTAGCCAATGTGACAACGAAAATGACTGGTTGTTGGCCGTAGCAATGGAAAGACTTTAACCACTTGGGCATTCAGAACATGAGGTAGACCGGATGCGCTCAGTGATCTGCTGCAAAAATGACTGCTGCCTTAGCAATCCAGGGCAGTGCCAGCTTAAGAACGTAGACAGATTTTGACTAAATTGGTGAGCTCGTCCGCTTAACGCTGTCGGTCTTCCGCGCTCTAGCCCCACACGAGGACATACGAACTCCTCAAGCAAAACCGTGCCGTCTTTGCGCAGTGGGGCGCGCCGGTGCACAGTGCAGCGGGCGGCGGTGCAGTGGGCCCGGCGCGGTGCTCGCGGAGCGGGCGTGTGGTGCCGGCGCCGGCCCTGCCGACCGTTAGCCGGCCCGGCGCGGCCGGCGGCCGCACTCTCCGCCGGGTCCGCGCCGCTCGCTGCCGCAGGGGCGGCGGCAGACGCGACGTCCCTGCGGCAGACGCGACGTCCCTGCAGCCGAGACCGCGGCCGCAGGCGCCCAGCGGTCGCCGCGCCGCCCGTGACTCACGCGGCTTCTCTACGACTTCGGCCGCCTCGTTCGGCCGTGGCAGCGTCGGCGCGCCGGGAGGCCGGCGGCGCGGCCCGGACCGCTGAGGCCGCCACTGCGGCGGGCCTTGTGGGCCGGCCGGGTAACGCACCGGCCGGCGGAGGCGGCGCGCCAATCCAGGTCAGGGCTGACCGAGGTCTTTGCCCGCTGCTGTCCGGTCAACATCCCGGCTGAAAGAGAAAGTTGCCGGCGGCGTGCGCGGCGTGTTTTATGCTGGCCGAAGCGGCGATGTGTGGCGCGGTGACGACACGGGGTGAATGGACGCTGCCGGGCGACGGCCGACGAATGCCAAGGCCCTCGGCGCGGCGGCAGACGGGTGTGGCGCATCGGTGACGGTCCCGGCGCTGCACCGGGCGGATGACGTCCTGCGGGCGCGCTCCGTGGGCAGTGGTGAGTGGTGGCGTGTATGTTCTCGTCCGGGATGCGTCGCGTTTGTCCTCTGTCCCGGAAGTGTCGCCGTGGTTATTTTTCTTGCAGCCGCCGTTCGCCCGCTGTAACCCTACCGTCATCATCCCGCGGCCGCTCCCGCCCTGTTGCCTAGCAACGGGCGGGGAGCCGGTCGTCTGCATTGTGAAACTAGCCCGGCCCAGATTTCTCCGGCGCGACGGGTGCGGCCTTCTCTCACGACCCGTCGCTCTGTTCCAGGCATGATGACGGTGCCAGTGCTTCCTTACGACGCTGGTCGCATGAGCCTCTTCCAAGATCTCAAACTCAAGCGCAGAAAGGTGGACTCAAGGTAAGCCGGCCGCTCTCGGCGTTACGGCGCTGGTGGTGGGAGGCCCGGGCCGGCACCGGCCGCTCCTGCGCAGTTCGTCGCCCCGCCCCGGCCCAGCGCTGGCTGCCCTGCGTTCCCATTGGCTGACAACCCGCGCACGCACACGCACACCATGCAGACGTTGCGTCATGCCCGCGCCGAATCGGGGTCAGTTCGATAGGAAGCAGAGCGGCCGCCCGCCGCGCGCGCACCCGCGCTGCTGCCAACGGCCGCAAGTTCAATGACACCGCGGCGGCGGCTGACCCAGAATCCGGCGCCGGCTGCGCGCCGTTATGTTTATCTTGGGCGTGCGTGTGCGCGGGGCACGCGCGAGCCGGCGGCGACACTTCCGCATGCGTGGGCCGCCGAGGGAGAGACAGGGAAGGGAACCAGGGCCAGATAAGGGCCCGAGAACGATTCCGGCATCGCCGCCTCCGATTTGCGTGACCCCTAAGCCGCCCTGGCGGCGGGCCGGGCAAACCTCGTCGAGGCTGCACCGCTGCAGAGTGGTTGCAGATGGCCGCCGCCGCTTTCATGCAGCGCCGTGACGCAACGCGGCCAAATTCACTTTTACCTTCGCCATTTTCACGATCAGTGCCGCGTCGTGTGGAGCGGCGTCGGCGGCTGGCGGCTGACGGCTGGCGGTAGCGCGTGCGCCCTGCCCCCTGCCATGTTCATGTGAGTGCGCGGCGGCTGCGGTCGGTGCTCCAGTTGCGCGGTGTCTGTGCGTCGCGCGGCGCGGCTGCGTGCGCGGCCGCGGCGCTGCCAAAGCGGCGCGGCTGCGCGGCTGCGGCGGACGTGCGAGGCCATGTGGGCGGGCCGGCGGCGCGGCCGGACCGGACAGAGGGGTGGCCGGCGTGTGAGTGAGCCGCCTCGGACGCGGCTGGTGCGCCCCGGAGGCGACCTGGAGGCCCAGGCTGCGCCGTCGTACGGCCGTAACGCTCGAGCTCGAGCGGCCGAGGCGCGTGTGTCCGCTGCCGTGTCTGGGCTGCGTATGCCCTCCGTGCGGTGTTCCATGTGTTTGGGCGGCCTTGAGTAATTGACGTGTATCCGCACGCGCGGGCTGGGCTGGCCTCTGTGGTCTCACCTAGTATCTGGAAGCGTCCCTGGGTCACGTGTCACTCTTGCGCTTGTCCGCGTGAAGGCAATCGGCACCTTTACAAATAATGCGATATATGTGAAGTGATGATACGGTATGGATATGGTATGGTTACATGGATGGTATAGTTAGCTTGATATAGCTGTATGTGGGAGGGATTACCGACGTTGATGTGTATGACGAGCTGGGTGTGTGTATGTGTGTGATGACCTACGTGTGTGTGTGTGTGTGCGCGTTGCGATTGGGGTACGCGTGCAGGTGCAATGGGTGCGAATGATACAGGCGTGAAGCGGTGCACTCCGCCCATGTTAGGCTCACGCCGTCAGGTCGTGTGTATGTGGTGAAGCCCGGCTTGTGAGCAGACTGTGCGCTGGCAAGTGGTGTGGGGCCATCCGGGTGGACCGCGCACGGTTGCGTGCGGGGATGTCTGTCGCCTGGTATTGGTCTGTAGTGTGCAGGCCCGAGCCGTGTAGTGCAGAGCATTGTGTGGGAGGACCGTGGGTGCCTCTGCCTGTCGGACCACGCCGGGCCAGCCTGCGCGCGGGGAGTAAAGCGGTGTGCCAGTTGGTGATCGGTCGATCGTCCCTGTCGCAGTGGTCACGGGCCGCTTCTGGTGCAGTCGGTAGTGCAGTACTCCTGTCGCAGTGGTCACGGGCCGCTCCTGGTGCAGTCGGTAGTGCAGTTCTCCTGTCGCAGTGGTCACGGGCCGCTCCTGGTGCATTCGGTGATAGCCTCTTTTGCGTGTAAGCTGCGTAGCCGCACGGACAGCTCTGTCGTCGCTTAAGATGGTCTGTTGACGTCGACTTGTCTTTCGATGTCGTCTTGTGTTGCTGGTGATATCCGGCGTGCTGATCGGGGCGGTGGCGTGCTGAAGCAACCTTGAGCCCGCTCTGATCCGTCCTGATTTGCGTACTCTCGTGTGTACTTGTGGCTGCCTTCATTACTCAGTGTTTATTACATACACCTGCTGTGCCACATGCTGCTGCCCCAGCCCGGCAGGGTAGCCCGAGGCAGGGGACGCGGCGCTGACCCGCGAGACTGCATGCATCCCCCCCCCCCTCGGTGCCTGGCGTTGCCTCCCCTCGTTCCGAACTGCTGACCAGTGGTGACGGTTCTGCCGCTCCTCTGGTGACCAGAGGTGACGGTTCTGCCGCTCCTCTGCTGACCAGTGGTGACGGTTCTGCCGCTCCTCTGGTGACCAGAGGTGTCCACCGTGACTGTGGGCTTAGCAGAGGTCGGACTGGGTTCGCTACCCGAGTTTTATTATTACAAGTAGGGTGGGAACGAGGAAAATGGCCGGCCGAGCGGCGTCTGAAAAAGTCGATTACCGTTTCACGGGCAACGACCGATGACATCGGTTAATGCCAACGACCGATGCCATCGACTAATGCCATTTGCTAGCAGAAAAAAACGCCAGAGCGTCCTCGAAAGCCCACTTGTCAGGTTCGGAATTCGAAAACCGCACAGCGGCTTGCAGCCGGTGCCACTGTTTGCGTCGCCGGCGCCCGCTGATGGCCTCCCTTCTGCAATAAGGCATCAGGGATAAGAAGTGAAGCTTACTCGTGCAACACTTGAACATTCTTGCGTCCGTAAAGCTAGGTACGTGTGGCCATTGAGCAATCCATGTCCACACTGGCGTGTGACCTTGCCGTTGGTGTCATCAGTACCGCCGGGCCAGGTTCTGGACGTGTGGCTTGCAGACAACGCTGAAGGTTGCGGTCAGCGTTGTGAGCCATCTGGTGGCCTCCAGGTGCAGCAGTGACGGCGAGAGCCTGGCCGACACGTCCACCAGCTCTCCAGACAGCGGAGGCTCGGCGGGAGGAGGCGCTGCCTCTCCCCACCACCTGCACAGCGACGCCCCCACCTCCCCGCCCAAGGACAGGTTAGCCCGCCACCTGGTGCCCCCGTGCCGTCTCCCCAGCCGGGGTCTGGTCAGTCCCGTCTCCCCAGTCAGGATTAGGTCAGTCCGCCCTCCGATCGCCCTGTCCGGCCTCCCCAGCCGGAGTCAGGTCAATCCCGCCTCCCCAGCCAGGGTCAGGTCCGTCTGCCTTCCGATCGCCCCGTCCCGCCTCCCCAGCCAGGGTCAGGTCAGTCTGCCCCCCGATCGCCCCGGCCCGCCTTCCCAGCCAGGGTCAGGTTAGATTCAGACTCGTGCCCGGGTGACGTCCGCCAGGGACGCAGTCGGAGTGAAGAAGCGCCGCCCTGCTGGGTTCTTCACTCCCACCGCGTCGTTGGCGGACGTCGTGCGGGCGTGACGAATCTGAACCACTGGAGCCGTGCCTGAGCGCGGTGCGATCTCAAAGGCGTCATGAGTTTTACCTCTCGACGGTGTCCAGGACTCCTGGTTGCAGCCGCACGGGGCGGAGGTGTGCTCATTGGTACGTTCTGCCTGCGGTTGTGTTGTGCCTGAACGGGGCCTGGTCGTTTCAGGGGAACGCCGGAGCCGGTGGCGCGCGTACCGGCGGCCACCTCCCTGATGGCGGTTTCAACGGACCAAACTGAGCTGTCCTCGGTGACAGCACGCTCAGCGTCGTCGGACGACCACCAGCAGAAGCCGGACAACGGCAGCGGCGTGTTCGATGGTGGCGGCGGCCAGGACGGTGACGGCGACGGCGGCGGTGGCGGCAGTGGTGGCGGCAGTGGCGGCAGTGGCGGCAGTGGCGGCGGCAGCGGCGGCGGCGGTGGCGGCGGCTGGCGGCCGAAGCGGCGGCGAGGAGCGGCCGCTCTCGCACGGCGACGCAGGCGGGCCGCCGTCCCCGCCGCAGCAGCAGGCTAGCCCTCGCCTTCAGCAGGCGCACGCGCGCTTCCCGGAGCCGCCGCGGCCCAACGGCTCGTCGCCGTCGCCAGTGCAAGTGCCCGTGTCGGCGGCCTACTGGAGCCAGATGGCGTACCGCCTGAACGGTCTGCGCCCGGCGCTGCCCAACGGCGTGCCTCCGCTGACGTTGCAGCCGCCGCCGCCACCGCCACCGCCGCCTCCGCCGCCGCCGGCGCCGGCGGCTGGCTCCGGCGAGCAGCCGCGGTTGCGCACGCCGCAGGTGATCATGGGTGAACACGGCGGCGTGCGGACAATGGTGTGGACGTGCCCTGAGCCGAGCGCGGCGCCGGCGCTGCCGGCCCCGCTCTATAGCGAGGAGCAGATGGTGCGTCTGTCGGTGGACAGCCTGCTCAGCCTGGGCCAGGAGCGGCGGCTGTCGTCAGCGTCGTCGGCGCAGACGCCGCCGCACCTGTCGCCCAGCAGCTCGCTGACGCTGTCACCCTCGCCCCGATCTCCGTACCACCCGTCCGTCATTACGTCGACGCCGTCGTCGGCGGCGCCCGTCTCGGCGGCGCGGGACCTCTCACCCACGGCCGCCAGCTCACGCGCGCTGCCCGGCGCCGAGGCGCAGCCCTTCGGCGCGCTCGACATGACCAAGTTCTGGGGACAGACGCAGGTGAGCGGACGTGGGGCGCTGCCGACCGCTGGCCCGACCTTTGACCGCGCGACGCCGCTGGCTGGCCTCGTCTCGCCCGGGCGAACGCCGCTACTTCCTCCTCGATTACACGCGCGACTTTCACAAAGTTTCTCCTCGGAGGCGTGCAAGGTCCTTGTCACTACGCGATGGCCGTCGAGCGCCCGGCGACTTTCATTTTCCCATGCATCGCCCTCGGGCCGGACCAGGTGCGGTGGCGATTCGCGGTTCTCTTCGGCCCTCGCGCCCCGTTTCTCTTCGCGCGGAGCACGTTTGTTTTGTGCCTGCCTGACGTCTTTCAGATCCGAATGGTGCCTCCAAGGTTTATCTTAATGGTATCCGGTGCGCGACGCGTCAAATGGCGGATACAAATTGGGTAACCAGTTTTGCCAGCCTTTCCGACCTCGGCTGCAGAAGAAACTCCCGTGTTGCATTTGCAGTGACACACAAAAAAGCCGTGCCTGTCAGCGTCCCGTTACAAGCGGTAATGCTCTTGTCGCCCGGTCCCCGTCTGACCGTCACAGCGAAAGCTGGATGCTCACTTCAGTGCGGAAGTCCACCCTGCAAACCGCACCACCAAACCGCTGCGCGCGTCCCAGAAGTCTGGGAAAGTCTGGAGTAGTCCCAACGATATTCCGACTGCCTCGGCGCAGGGGCGGCCGACTCGCCGGCTGGCTGGCTGGCTCACGCCTGCTGACCGGCCGCGTCTCGGCGGCTGCAGACACCACGTGGGCCAGCCAGCTGCACGACGACACGCGGCACCCAGTTTCGCCGGCTTCCGCAGCGCTGGGCGGGGGCGGGGACTGCCTGTTATTCCTGGCCGGTGCAAAGGTTGACGACCGGCGCGGCGGCGGACACCGACCCCGATCTGACCCCGTTCGCTCGCGCCGACCGGCCGGCCGCTGACCGCCGCGCCGCTGCAGCGTTGCAGTGCCGCCGGCGCGGCGCCCGGCCCGAGATTTTGGGGGGCGGGGGGTTGTCTGCGGTCGTTGAGTAAAGTTGGCTGGATTTCCTGACGGGGTGGGCGGTCCTCGCTGGACCGCACTCGCGCCAGATTGGCGGCCTGATCTGGACGTTGAGAAACGCCGCCGAGTCTGGGGCGTCGCTTGCCTCACTGTTCACCTTACCCGCCGCGACGTCTGCTTTGCGTCGGCCGCGGCGGGATAATCCTCTCGCGGTTCACGGGCCGGCGCAAAGGCATCCAGTCAGCGCTGACTAGCTCCCCCCTGCTTATGTGATGCTATTGCGTCGGGGGTCAAGGCGGTTACTACGCGGTGGGATAACGGACGGAAAGAATGCTGCTTCGGCGATTACTACGCGCGTAACTCCGAATCAGAGCCTTGTCGCAGCCTAGATTAGCTTAATCCTTGCAGCCCACTGGCAAACGCCTGCTTTATTTGCTACCGGTCACCTCGTTCAGCTGTGACCACCAGTCCACAGCCCGTGTGCTCGCGCTCGCCGCTTGCCCGCTGTCGCACGTGTGCATTGTGGAACGCTGTGGATAACGTCCCGCGGTGAGGAGGTTCGGATGCGGACCGTGGACCATTATCGGGCGTGCGTAATGCGAGCTATTTCCCGCCGGCGGCAGGCTCTGAACCTCACCACCAGCTGGTCCCAGCGGACGGGGCCGGAGCCGTCGACTTCGACGCAGCACTACGACGACAACGACGAGCACCCCATGATCTGCATGATCTGCGACGACAAGGCCACCGGCCTTCACTACGGCATCATCACCTGCGAAGGGTGAGCACTGAGCACCAGAGCAGAGACGAGATTCAGAAGGCTCCAGGCAGCGCTTGTCGGTGCTTCGTGTTGTCCCCTTTGCAATTTGCATATACGCCGTCGATATCATACCTTAGAAGAGGGACTCGAGCACGGTTTTATGCGGTTTCAACGAAGCGAAAGCACGGGTTAGCTAAATTTGTCGTTGGCAAATTTGTGTGCGCATCTGGTCATCTCAGCCCTTCCAAGCCACCAGCCGAAAGTCGAGCTGGAGCAACGCGCATTCCACGTGATGTCGCCCACCCTGCAACGCCGACCGTCTCCTGCAACATTGCCCGCCGTTTCAGGTGCAAGGGCTTCTTCAAGCGCACTGTCCAGAACAAGCGCGTCTACACGTGCGTGGCGGACGGCAATTGTGAGATCACCAAGGCGCAGCGTAACCGGTGCCAGTTTTGTCGCTTCCAGAAGTGTCTCAAGATGGGAATGGTGCTGGCAGGTACGTGCGACTTCTATTTGGCGCTACGCGACGTCCCCCCCCCCCCCCCCCTCTTCCCGGTGTTCTGGGGCACGCTGACCTCGGAGCTGTGACGCTCAGCTGGTGACCTGAATTACGTGATGCTGAGCCGTGCAGTGACCCCAAAACGGGCCATGCGGCGACCCACTGGGACTTGTGGTTGGCTCCGCTCCACCACCTGATCAGGACTCCGGCTCAGCTCGGCGTCGTCTGATCAGGACTCCGGCTCAGCTCGGCGTCGTGGCTTTGAGCTGGACGCTTTGGTCTGGTTCGCGGCGATCTCACGCTGAGTTCACGCGGGACGCTGACTTGCCGCGTGCTGAGACCAGCACCTGGGCCGGCCGGCGGTGGGCCAGCTCGTGGCCCGCCGTCCCGGGGTCGGGCGGCGCGCGGCGGACGGCGCGCCAGCTCCGGCGGCCCCCGCCGGCGCCACGGCTGCCGGCGGGGGCCGCGAGCCGCCGGAGCCACGGCCGCGCCAGGTCCGGCTGCTGCTGGAGCGTGCGCCGGCGCGCCCGACGCCGCTCAGCCGCCCGGCCGCACGCGAGATCAGCCCAGATAACCTTGACTTTGACTTTTGCGGGCTGCCTGTCATGAACGGACGCCGGCCAAATGAGCGAGCGTCGCCGCCGGTCGCGCCCGGCGAGGCGGACGTGCGCCCCTGTTCCGGGAGCGACCGTCGCATGTCCGTGGGCTTGGTCGTCATGCCCCTTCCCCTCCCTTCTGGCGTGGGCTAATCCAGTTAGACCGCGGTTTCCTTGTCGGCGGACCGGCATGCCACTGTCATCGCGGAGGACTGTCCGCATGCGTGGTGTGCGAGCCACCTTGCGCGGGACGGCAGCGGAGCGCCTGCCTGTGTGGACACCCGATCCTCCCCCCCCCCCCCCCACACACACACACACTATACGAACGCCAAGCCATGTGCCCGTTGCCGTCACTTCCGGCATCGAGGGTGCCTGCGCGTGGGGCGTCTGGGCCGCGTGTGACCTTGTCACGAGTGAGTGTAACCGACATGAGCCCTTGCCAAGGCTGACCTCGGGTCTGCCCTGCCCCGCAGCCGTGAGGGAAGACAGAATGCCCGGAGGAAGGAACTCGGGGGCAGTCTACAACTTATACAAGGTGAGCTGTTCTGGCTAGGTCTGTCAGGCAGATCTATGAATGAATTCGGTGGAGGTTATTGAGCGCGTTCAAAATTGCGGTGGCGATCTCGCTGCAGGCGATAGGCGGAACGAACACGTTCTATCAGAACAGACCGCGGAAGCCATCATATTGGACGCTGCTCAGTTCGTGCTGCCATAAACATAGTTTTTTATTGATTTCGTGTGTCCATTTCATCAGGTCAAGTACAAGAAGCATAAAAAGAAGCAGCTGAACGGCTCCATGAAGGTAGAAGGCAAGCCTAAGACCCTGGAGCTTCAAACCTCAGTGCCACCTGGTTTATTTGCAGCAGGAAACATTCTGAAGACGGCTCTGACGAATCCGACCGAGGTTAGCGCAGCTGGCGCATGCGTGCCCGTATCGTTTTAGACATTTCTAGAATTCACGCCGCATTTCGAATGGAGACTGCTCCCTGCTCACACGAGTGGCGAGTCTCGCTACATGCATTCGTCGCACTCGCGAAAGGAACCCTTATACGACGGACTGTATTAGCGCTGAACCTGCTTGCTCGCCTCGCGTCGACTGACTCCGACAGCACCTGCAGCACTCAGTGCGCGGGGGTAGTATCATCTGCAGCGGCCTGAGCGTCAGCCTCTTCCGTAGGTGGACCACCTGCGGCACCGGATGGAGAGCGCCGTCAGCTCGTCCCGCTCGGTGCCCTACGAGGCGTATTCCTCCCTCATCCGCACGCTCATCGACTGTGATAACTTCGAGGATATTGCGACGGTAAAGGTCTGTAAACCCAGACGCCAGCGCCGGTACTCAGCTGTTAGCGGGCAGCCGCCAAACGCCGGCTTTCGGCACCTGTTTTCGCTGGTCCTTGGCAGTGGTGACGGCTTCGGGGCTTCGGTGGTGGTTTATTTCCCGTCTTTCCTTGCGTCCTCCGCGCGCGACTCCAGTATTTTTATTTGCCTGTACGTTTCTGCTGTTTAAATACCTGTTCATTTACTAATGTAAATAAACTGTGTGTAGGTGTCCTACGAGTATAACTAACATTTTGCCCCTGTCTTATATATTCATTTTTTGTTACTTTTTTAGTCTGCCTTCGCATAACGAGCGTAGTTTTTCTTTACGGAGTCAGCATCTTTTCACAAACGCCGTGAGTCATCGAGCCGGGACAGCAAAAACGCAGTAAACATGGCACGCCTACTAACCACTGAGTATCTATTGGCATGTGGGTTTACACTGAGGCATGTGCTTACGGTGCGGCCGTCCGCTATATTCGGTGTGCTATGGTACTGTATGCAGCCTCCCGCGTCCCACGCTGCCCTCGGGATTTGGTGCGACGTGGAAGCTCTCTAACGTTGTGGGGGCTCTCGGGACTTGGTGCGACGTGGAGGCTTTCTAACGTTGTGGGGGCTCTCGGGACTTGGTGCGACGTGGAGGCTTTCTAACGTTGTGGGAGCTCTCGGGACTTGGTGCGACGGGGAGGCTTTCTAACGTTGTGGGGGCTCTCGAAACTTGGTGCGACGTGGAATCTTTCTAACGTGGGGCCTTCGGGACTTGGCGTAGCGTGGAAGCTCTCTAACGTTGTGGGGGCCCTGGAAACTTTGTGTGACGTGGAAGCTCTCTAACGTTGTGGGGGCCCTCGAAACTTTGTGACGTGGAAGCTCTCTAACGTTGTGGGGGTCCTCAAAACTTTGTGTGACGTGGAAGCTCTCTAACGTTGCGGGGCCCTCGGACTTCGTGCACTGCGGGAGCTTTCTAACGTCGTGGGGAATATTCGCGCGGGCGGGCTGCAGTGTCGGAAACCTGACCCGGCGCTCACAGAAAGATCTTAACGCACTCGGTGGCGCTCTTAAATCCCATTGATCACCTGAGGCATGGCCTAATCTGTCTGCTCCTCTCTGTTATCTCTCGCGCGGATATCTCCGCTGGAGAGTGGTCGCAGCGTTTGTGATGCGGCCTGCGGGCTCCCAGCCATCCAGCGCCCGGCGTACAATCGGCGTTTGCCGCCTGAACGCGGGTGGGCACGGCGCAGAAGGCGGTTTGCGGTGCTGCTCTGAGCTCATCTTCGCGTGCCTTTGCATGCCCGTGTCGCCCTTGAGAGAAGATCCGAATTCCGCCTGGCAACATGTGAGCCATGAGCTGGCGTGGCCCGTGACGTGGCGCCCCGGTCGCCATGAGCGGCTCGTGGCGCTACTGGCGGCCGGGCTGGGCCACCAAATCGGGTGCGGTCGGGCGGCGAGCGGGCCCGACATCTGGCCGCCGCCACCGGCCACTCGCCGCTCGCGGCGCTGGAGGTAGTGACGTCACGTATCCGCACCGCCCGAGAGGTGCCGGTGTGAGCGCCGCGCAGGGCGATGCGGGCAGAGACGGCCAGGTCGCGACAGATGGCTCCGCGTCCGCACGTTATCTCGGGAAGGGCGGCAGCTGAGAATGATCGATCTACTGCGGTCTTGGGCGGCAACTGAACGACGGGCTGTTTCTTCTTCAGAACCTGAACGAGATCTTCGACAACAAGTCGGATATCTCACAGAAGCTGTGTCACATCGGTGACTCCATAGTCTACAAGCTGGTGCAGTGGACGAAACAGTTGCCTTTCTACTCCGAGATCCCCGTCCAGGTGCGTCGAGTCAGCAGTCATGTTCGTTTGTAAGGCATCACACTTGAACGCCTCTCACGCTGGGTGTAGTTTAGGCTCAAGCCGACGGGCACAGGTGTTGTTACCTTGTCGGAGAGGGCTTTAATACGGGACTGTTGAGGGATGATGGGCATCGGCTTATGATCAGACATGCCGGAAAGTCAGGACTGTGGGTTTTCACACCATGGCTGCTGTCGAGATGGAGTCAGGTTCGCTGCCATCACTTGTTCAGATGATCACAATATCACGTCGGCGGCTTGCGTTGGCTGCTTTTTGCCTGTGCTTCGGCCAGTGCACCGCGCGGTCGGCTGACACGCCCGCTTCGTCCTGCGCAGGTCCACACGCAGCTGCTGACGAGCAAGTGGCACGAGCTGCTGGTGCTGACGACATGCTCGTACCAAGCAATCCGCGGTATCCGCCCGACCCTAACCATCACGGCAGATGGCACGCAAACAGAGTTCCAGCAGGAGGTGAGCCGCTCTCCCCCTGCGGATCACCCCCTCCCCCGCCACCCGCCACCTGTCCTTGGCGAGTGGTGAAACAATGAGCTCTGGTGTGCCTTTCATAGAAGTGTAGCCATCGGAGTTGTTCAGCATTGTGAACGCAGAGCGCATGGCTTCTAAAGATCCCTTGGGGTCCGCCTGCAGCTGCTTTGCGAGATAAGCATGGTTTGTGTTCCTTGAAAACGTGCGGCCTGCTCTCATTTATTCCTCCCATTTGTTTGCACATGTTCTTCGTAAAACGTGTTTGTTTTCAATCGCGTTTGTTTGGACTTTGGACTTCTCAGTTTCCTTCTGTGAGTGTTGTAGCGACTTTCGTGCCTGTTCGATACATGCCACCACTCGAAGCGTGCCGTGCCTGATGACGCTGCGCATTCTCCCGTCAGGTGTCGAACAGCTTATGCACTCTGCAAACGTGCTTGTCGAACATGATGAATCAAGCGATCTCGATGGAGCAGCTGCGAAGGGAGGTTGGCGTGATGATCGAGAAGATCACGCTGGTAACGGTGATGCTGCGCAGCTTGGGCATACGTATGCAGGAATACGTGTGCCTCAAAGTCATCGCCCTCCTCAACGACTGTAAGTGTGCCTGCACAGCCCCTGTCAGAGTACCGATCGGCGGCGTGGACATATTGATAAGACTCAACCACGTATCGTGCCTCCCCTTTTTGTTTAAAGAAACGATCCAATACTCACTTGCGTAGATTGTTTCTCTCATGGCTGTGGGCCCCGCACCCGCCCTGCTTGTTGCTTGGAGAGCTTGTTGCTCGCGTCCCACCCGAACGTTCTAGTTTGCTGTTAGCCAAGCGCTCCGTGCGCCTCCGTGCGTTGAAAGTTGTCAGCTGTCGCCCGGGCCTGAGCGGGACTGCTGTTTCCAGCCTCATCGCTGTACGCCAACTCGGAGCACATCGAGGACCGCTACCGGAGCTGCCTGCGCTCCTACGTGATGCACGAGTACCCGGAGCAGCCCACGCGCTTCCAGCAGCTGCTGGCCCGCTTGCCCGAGGTGAGGCACCGTCTCTGTCCAGCGTGGACGGCATCAAAAGCGCCGGGGAGGGGGGGGGGGGGGGGAGGGGTTCACGCGGGATGCCCCTGGCTATAGTGGGATTACAGAATAAGTTTCGATAACACATTGGACATAGCACCCACCAACATACGCGTGCTGGTATGAGCTTAATGACAAGGTCACCAAGGCGGCGCACTTAATACTACGGATTTGATGTGGAATCTACCCAGCTTCTCTATATGGAGCTGGTTGAGCTTCTTCAGCCGCCGCTTACAGGGCTAACCTTGTGACGCCTGAAGATCAGTTTGTACGCACAGCTAATAACTTAGAGCCGTGGGATTTGCTGCCTGTTGGATAGGTGCTCGCTAGTGCTATCTGTTTCCACTTTTGATACAAACGTTGCGCACCACTCATCCTCCTTGCGACGGTTTGATGGGAGCGTGAAGTCGGTCTTGCCGGGTCTTCGACAGATCAGTGTGTGTCTGGGAGGGGGGGGGGGGCATACATTCGTGTCACTGAAGTGAAAGCCACCATGTAGCCGCCTTTGTTACACTCCGAACAGACCAACTGCTGCCTAAGTATTTTTTTCACACCCAACGCCTGCCCTCTGTAACAACCTTCTTCTCGGACGGCAGATTCGCGAGGCGGCAGCGCTGCTGTTGGAGAGCAAGATGTTCTACGTGCCGTTCCTCCTGAACTCAACCATCCAGCGGTAGTCGACGGCGTCCCGAACACACACACACACGCGCACACACACACACGTACAGACGCACCCATTCACACATTCTTGGGGGACCATCAACGACTCGTGTGCCCTACACACGCACGCAAACAGGTCACGCACACACACACGCACGCACGCATGTACGCACCCACTCACACACGCAGGCGAGCGCGCATGCGCGCACACATGTACGCACACACTCACGTGCATGCGTACACTCAGCCACACATGCACTTATGCATGCAGGTACGCATACACGCGCGCATGCACAAACGCACGCACACACACACACACACACACGCATACACACGCACGCACGCACACACTCGAACACGCATACGCGGGGGCGAGCGAGAGCGAGGGACGTCGGTGCCCGCGCCGGTGATGACGGTCTCCATATGGGCGGGCAGAGTGAGCGGACGTGTCACTCCGGCAGAGCCCGGCCCCGGCCGCGGCGGCCTCGGCAGCAATACACGATGCGTGGCGCACCGAATCAAAACGGCCGGGGGCCCGACGCCGCACTGCACGAGACGGCCGCCGAACTAGTCAGTTGTCAAGTGAATGCCCTCGTAAGTTACCGTACCACGGTTGTCTTCTGCCATGTTTTATACTAGTCGGTTCAGCCGGTCACAGCGCGGCGCGATGGAAATTCGTGTTGAGTTGTCCCCTGGCGGGCGGGACGCGTTACCAGCCACTCCGGCGCTCCTTGGAACCTGTTCGCGATCGGCGAAAACTCGCGCCGGACGCCGTTGTTCGGTTGCGCTGCCTTCTCTGTCTGGTTTGCGTTGTGTTGTCGGCTCGGTCGGAGTGTACATAGAACGCTGGAGTAGCAGAAATATCGAGTATTTATCACGAGTGTGATGCCTAGATGAGCGAGTGGGGGTGCCGGCCTCGCGCTCGCGCCCCCCAGGCCTGTACAGCGTGTGACTAGGCCCGGCCATGCGCCGCTGTGTGTGCGTGTTGGGGTCAGCTAGTGCCGACGGGCCGGCGGTGGCTTGCCACCCGTTATTTTTATTCTTATTCTTATTCAAGTACAACGGTCGTGATGGTAGATTTTTGGCTGCATTTGGCGCGTGTGCCGCGTGAATGGGGAGTGAACAGCCAGCAAATTTAGTTACCAGTGCGACGAGACCAAAGTTTGAGTTACCACAATCTGAGGCAGGCAGGCTGTTTGCGGTGAAGACCATTCTGTGCGGAGAGCGCGTTTTCTACGAGTATCCAATCGTTTCTTTCTAATTTTGTACCCATTCACTGTGGTGGTTGTAACTTTTTATTGTTACGTGGACGCAGACACAATTTTGTACAGCATCGTGAATGTGTATGTTTATATTCAATGATTGTGTGCATTTATGTATGTTCCTACGCAAAAGAGGAAATGTACCATTAAAAAATAGCTTGTTGACTTTGAACTACAGATCGACAAGACGACATCCCGGTTCTGCAGTCGAATGGAAGGCTTTAGACACTGCTGGGTCAAAGCTTGTAATGGAAGCAAGCTACACGGTTCAATAAAGCACAATCGGAGTTTTAGTGGACAGAGGCTGCACAGACTGCGGAGGCATGAAAATCGAGGAGGAATTCCTCATGTAAATATACATACTCGTGTTTTTCCGCAAGCAAAAACAGACAGCACATATCTCCACATATATATCACATATGCCCATTCGAATCTCATGAGAAGCCTCACTTCACTGTCAATTTGCAAATAAAGCTGAAGGAGACGGGTGAGAGCCAAGACCAGGTCTCGAAGACAGAAGTAATGTCCCTGGTGATATGCAGACATTATTTGGACATTGTTTGGTTTCTTTATTTGTCGGGGAATTTAAACCGTCACTTCTTTCGAAGCTGGGATCTGTGGCACTTGCCATAGATGTCCAGTTTCCTGAAACCTGCTTCGAGAACAACGCTCTGTGAACATAAAGACTAACGATGGAAAGTGTACAGAACAATAGTCCGCTTTGTGTGACGCATATTCAAGCGTTGCAATAATGTTTTTTTTTTCTCTTGGGAGACTAGCGACACATTGTTGGCTCAAAGAAGTGCCATGGTCCTGCACCTTTTGCCGCTTGTTGAGGGTTTATCGATTTCTGCTAGATAGCATTTGTAGCCGAGTGGGCCGATCGGCAGAACTTTGTACAGACGTTTATCCATTTCCGTCGAATTGCCAATTTTATCTCTAAATACCAACTTAATGAGCATCCGGCGTGGTAATTCTGCCCGTGTATTCGTTGCATAGGAGTTTATTGAGTTACACATGAGCTTCACGACGCTTTGACGTCATCAACAATTTGTTGGCAAAATCGAGGTAGTTTTGGATTCCTGCTGAGGATGAATATCAAACTCATGCCAACTTAACGCAAGCGTATTAACCGTTAGAAACTACCTCACTTCTCCAGCTGAGTTGCGTTATTCCCCCATTCCGCCTGCTGAAGAGGCGTTCAATGACTTTTTCTGAATCTTCCGGAATCAAGCGCTTTGGCGGCAAATATCCGTTCAGTGGCACGGGCCCAGCCGCGCTGACACCGATATGCCAGCTATCAGTTCGTATATACTTTACACTGTACGATCATCCTGTATCACTGCGCTATCTGTGCTGTTTGTGGCCGTCACAAAATCCTCACTAAAAGTTTGGTTTGGGTTTGATTAAATCTCTTTCGGTAAGCAATGATTATTTCGGGGCTGCTCGATCAAGGAGCTAGCGAGCAGCGATGTAAGAATGCAGCCATTACAAGGCGCTACCACTGGTGAGCCTTACCCGCACAGGAGTCCACGGCTCCGAGGCCTGCACGGGCTCCCGGGCGGGGTTCCCCGGAGCTCCCTGCCGGGGCTCCCGGGCAGGGCTGCCAGCCGGGGCTCCCGTCGGGGCGGCAGGGAACCCGACCCATGGCTCACGGCCGCGCTATACCCGACGAGTGGGGCACCGCGGGGATGTCGGATTAACCAATGAATGAGGAAAACAGAGTGGATGCCAAACTTAGAGGAAATATGCCACGTGGGGCTCCTTAGCAGTTAAGAACAGGTTCATCGCAGCTGCTTTAAAATCGGTTATGGCATTAGCATTAGCATTGACGAGTACTAGCACCGCGAGCCGGTCTGCAAACACTGTTGTGTCAACGTTTTTTCTAAAGTGACATACTTCGGTTGCCGTTATTCCCTGCAAGCGATCGGTACGAGTGCGCTATCTATTGAGGGCCATTGACGAGTAGCGAAGATGGGCGAAGGCTTACAGCAATTGAGGGCAAGGATGTGGTTTACTAAGCCGCTCTGAAACTGATGACCGCAGGCCGCCACTTCAACGTCCAAGCCGCATATACCCCTGGAACATTGCATTCCATCCAAATTCGGAAAACAAGTGACAAAGCTCCTCGAAGCCATTACCAATGAATAGGGCTCTGCGCCTCAGGTCGCCATCTCTATCTTTAATAGCCGCATGAACTACTTTAGGACAGTGCAGCCCAGCCCTCACCAGGTACTGCTCAACCGATCTCATTGAAATCCTACACCCATGGGTGGAGCGCCTGCGAATTTATCAGCCGCTCTGCTACTCATGACCACAGTTTGAGAATTTTAGCCGCGACCCATGGTCACCTTCACCATTAAAAACCGCATATACCACATTTGGACATGGCAGCCAAGACCAAACTTAAAAATGGCAATCTTGCCCGGTCTCCGTGCAACCTTCACCAATGGATAACGTGGCTACGACTTATCTGACTATGCTCTGCGCCGCCCGATACTGTGCCGATTGGCAGCCCTGCCACTATTGTGGAACTCCTGAGTTACTGCAAGACCTGCAGAAGTCTGCGCAGGGGCGTTTCTGTTTTGAACTTGCATCTGAAGGCGTCGTTAATTGTGTTCTATGTCGCCTTCTGAAGTATGTGACAGAGCTTGTCTTCAACGGATTTACACAAGTGTGCACATCCCATCAGCCAAGCAATGTTGACCCGTAACTGTTGGCTGCTGCTTCAGCCGTTCATCCCCAACTTCGAACGGCTTCAGTCCATCATGGCGTCTGCCAAATTGCTGTCGGAAATTACCTACCTTCTTGTTTTGGTATGCATTCCCTCGGCGGCACGCCACAACGAAACATGGGCCTTCTCGCTGTTACCTACCTTATAGCTCAGACGTTAGGGAAGTTAGCGATTTACTTAGCGCTTTATTTGGCGATCAGTTTTGATTTCTATGAGAGCACGTGTAGAAGTCAATTGTCACGCGAACATCAAACCCGACACTTGTTTTTCAATACCATGTGACCTTCAAGTTCAGGTTTAAGATGAAATGACGAGGACTACATATCGCCCAAAAGTTATGGATCTATTTGGGAATTTTAAGCGTCAGATTCATCTTCAGCACACAAACCAGCGTCCGGCAAAAAATCCTGATCTTCCGAGGTCACGCTTAAAGGTCAAATTTAAGGTGATTGGTGGTATATAGGTGAATAAGGTGATAATATCATCCAAAAATTTCAGGTCGATTTTTGTTTTTTACGCATCGGAAAGGTCGAGAATGTTCATGAGAGCATTAAGTATGAAAAATGCTTGTGTGTGACTCTGTTTTAGCATTGGTTGTCAGGATAGCACTGCCAGGGGCACGTCCGTCAGGATGATTGACGACCGAGTTTCCGAATCAATCGCAAAATCGGCTCGCGAATGAAAGGAAGGTGTTTTCAGCATAAATGTATTGCTAGCAATAGTATCAGACAACGCAAGGTCGATCCATAACAATTACTATGCGTGATAAATGGCCAACAATCCACAGCAATTCATACAGGGGAAATGGGTCACTAGTCCAAACAGCGGTGAAGCAATCCAAAACGACGAGCGATAGAGAAATGCAAAACACGTGATTGGTATGGGTAACATAATACTGGCGGCTAAAAATGACTTCAGAACAGGCCGAATTGCTGGAGAAAATCAAAATTTACACTGTCAAAACCATGGTCGATTTTTGCCTACCGTTTAACGTATCAATAAACACGCGTCACGAGAAGCGCAAGCTAACACACTACCTGAACCACCCGATAAACATACACGTCACGATACGCACAACCTATTCACAAGATGCACATCCTCCGGACCCACCAATCTATTCTCACGTACCGGCACATACCCAAACTACTGATCTATCCGCATTGGGACAGCATTAACCAGCATAAGTCGTCATTAACAGCGATTTGAAAAAAACTTGTGTTATTCAACCTGAATTTTGTGGGCGCCATTCCATGCGAAGTCCTTCCAGCAGTGAGCTCACCGTTTAGCTGGATGATGTGCACATGAACAACGATTATTTTACCCGATGTACGCGTCAACTCACTGGATTAAGCCGAGGGCTTCCGCAGACAAGTACACGCTGGATGGTGCGAGTTATCGTGTTATCGGCACAAGCCGCCGAATCGAATACGCACGCCGAGCCCACATTTAAAGGCCTTTGGTGAACTACAATGCCAGCGCGCATAGTTCAGAGCCATTAGATAGCCTTGGTTCAGAGGACATCCAGGCGTAAGTAATGCAACGTTTTTTTTTTAGAAATGACGTAGAGCTAGCTAAAATGAGTACACTGAGATCGTCGGTTTAATCAAACGCGCTGAGACCATTAATAACACACGAACATTATTTAGTGAAATAGCGGACGTCGACACTGCGCAGTAAAATCAACACAGGCACGCCGCCCAGCAATGTAGGCAACCACAGCAACAGACAACCTAAAAAAATACACAGAGAGGCTGCCTGGTAAAACAAATGCACAGGGACCGCTCAGTTAAATTGTCACATATCTCATCACATATCATGTTATATCAATGGCCAGCCCGGCACACTAAAATCAGCATAGTATAACTGGGCCAATTAAAATAAAGGCATTTTGCACATGACTCGACCATATATACCCAACCATCTGCACTCTCCAGGGTAGCCAAAACGCACACATGGACAAATACGGTAAGGGCCAACGCTCGCTTCGGGGATGACTCCGGCTAGTTCACATAGGCGGATCCTGGGGGGGGGGGGGGGCCCGGGGTCAGTGGCCCCCCAAAACCGCTGAGAGTATGTTTTCCCCCAAAACATTCCCAGAACTTCATAAAAGTTTCTTCTACTTACCGTCTGTTTTAACTTTTAACTGTTTTAGCTGTTTGTTTTAACTTCTGTTTAAGATTCAAAAACATTTCGGTGCTTTTCCAGTTTTGAATGGTGTCCCTACTACGTACTCGCGAGGGGCACCACACACTGGATCTCGGATCCCACACCAGTCAGTTGGCGACGAACGGTTGCCCCCCCCCCCCCCCCTCCCCCAAAACTTCAGACTAGATCCGCCCCTGCTAGTTCATGGGGTGAAACCGGCTTAGTTTAAGGGGTAAATTCGAATTAGTTCAAAGGGTAATGCTGAGCAGTTAAAAGGGCGAAATCGGCTTGTTAATAATCAGACACTCCCGCCCGGACAGCATAAGCCGGCTGGGCATGGACTTTTAGGCTTCGAGGGCCTCGAAGCTATCCGACACAAACGTCAGTCAGCAGTGTGCGAGCGTTGTGGACGTTATGAATGCTGGATGGTGTGATTTGGGATATTCCGAACACTGAGCGCGGCGAAATTGGACGTTTAGATGATCCTCCATGCGACTGCACTTCAAGGGAAATGAACTAACGCACCGTACGTACCTTTGACGTCAGAAGTTGCAACTTGCGGCCGGCGCAGGCCCGAGACCAATATCGGAAAATAGATTTGCCACTTATGGCGCATGAGACGAAACCGGCGGAAAATTTACATAACGATGCTACTGCCTTGACTGATGCCTTGATTAGATTGAAAAGTGAGATGATAGTGTTAAAAGTGCGTTTTATAGGTAGACGTTCACGGTAACAGCCCTTGTTTCTAGATGTGAGTACAGAAGTCATGCAATTAGTGGGTTGTCGGTAGATAGCGTGGGATGTAGTTCTGTGGAATTAATTATGTATACTCAAATACCAGAATGATACGCGCGCATGCTCGACTGTTAACATTTTATAACTCGTACCTGCAATCCTATTTGCTACATAGTATTTTTTGGCCAGAGCTTGGCACACAGTTAACGTGAAAGTAAGTTATGGACAACAGTGGGAAAGCATATTACTGATTATGTATGTTCACTCTGTCTTCTACACTCAGCCAGATTTGCAAAGTAAGTCAGATTTACATCAACACCATCTGTCATTAGGTCTTTGTATCTTGGACATGCAGATTTGCATGTGAATCAGTGTTGATGTGCACCTCCCACAGCTGCAAGGCAAATAATCCCACCACCTACAAGTTTCAACAATGGGAAGCAATGTATCTAAGAAGAGGCGAAGATCTTCTATGTCAGATGCTGAAGCACGCTCAAGGCTGCAGAGAAAAATTTGTCTTGTGAGTATCTTCTTCAGATTAAAGATATTGTCAAATGCTTCAAACAAAATTGCAGCATGGTCTCCACTGGCAGATCAATATCATGTTTTTTCATTGGAAGACTAAAAAGTCAAGCAGTAAGTCCTGGGCTCATTCACTGCCATTCATTTGTGATGGTTCATGATAAGATTCGGGAACCATGCTGCTAAGATTTGAGCTTGTTTATGTGAGTCAACAGCCACAGAGCGACAACTGCCATCAAACAGATCCAACTTGGGATAGATCTAACATATCTTAATGATCTGGCATGATCTTGCAGATTTGACAGATCTGACTAGTCTTCATCCCATATGGAATAGTTGGTTTGGCTGTATCCCTCGTCCTTGTATGGTAGCATCTACACTGCCAATGCATTTTCTGGCTGTCAACAGATGTGTATAGATGGAATGCATGGTGTGAAGGAGAAACTCATGAGGAACATTGGATTGGGTATAGCTTTCAGCCATGTATAGAACACAACCAAAATTTGTGTATATGTGGTTGTGGATGAAAGTTACACACCATGCGAATCATATCATGCACTATTGATGTTTTGGTTTCAGGCAGAGGAAACACCAGAGCCTGTCTATGACCTTTCAAACTGCTTGTTGCGCACCATACCTCCAGGAACATACGCCAAGTGCAAAGTGCTCCGCAAGCTGCAGCTTCTTTTGCAGGCAAGTTCCGGGTGTTTGGTATGAAATGTGTAATACTATTATCTATATGATTTATTTATGTTTTTTCAAACAGCAGAAAGAAGAAATTGCTCTGTGATCTAAATGAGTACATGCCTTTATGCTCCCAGTAACTTCTGGTCATTATGGAGTTGAATAAATACATTTACCATCCTTGACACAGCTACAGGTACTGATTATCTGCTTGTCTGCTTGCACACAACTTTGCTGTCATGTCTATAAAGGTAGCCTCCATAATTTAGGCCTTACAAGAACACATGAGGGATGGGTTTCAGTGGGTATATTTTCTGCAAATAAGACAAATATTTAACTGTGCCCACATGTTCTTGTCTCACTTTCTCAGGATAACCTGCTAACATCACTAGAGTCAGGTGGTCAGCTCTCCGATCTGCACTTGCTGCAGGTGCTCCACTTGGAGTTCAACTGCCTGATCCACCTGCCCCACAGCATTTCATCCCTTGCCAGCCTCCAGGTATGTCAAAAGACTAATCTGCATCATTGTAACCATACCACACAAATACCCACACTCCAGCCTGATTGATGTGAAGTGGGTGTGATCTTTTCTCAGCTGTGATGTATATGTGCACTCTAACTGGATTGTCAGAACTGCTGGTGCACATAAACACACAATCAACAAAACACAGCTTCCGGCCCCAGCTGCTGCTGATGTTCATCTCATGCCACATGCACGCCATCGACAGGTGCTCGACCTATCCAACAATGCACTGAAGGAACTGCCAGCGTCGATCGGCGAGCTGCACCGGCTACGGCGGCTTCTCTGCCGCGGCAACGGCCTGCGCAGCTTGCCGGCGGCGGTGGGCCGACTGTCGCGGCTGGCCACGCTTGATCTGCGCAACAACCAGCTCCACGAGCTGGCGCCCCTCGCCAATATCAGGTGCGGCTCCTGCCAGGGCCGCGGGATGGCTCATTTTCACGCCTTTCACGTGACGTCACGTCAGCTGGCCGGCTGGGGTGGTGCCAGCGCAGTGCTGCGCGCTGCCGGGCGCCGGTCCTTTGTGATCTGTCAGCTCTGACTGTCCGTGACCTCGTCCCCCCTTCCGCAGTCGGATGGAAGAGGTCCGCTTGGAGGACAATAAGGCGCTGTTGTGCCCGCCGCCAGAGGTGGTGAGCGCAGGCTCGGACGCCGTGATCACGTACCTCTGCCGCGGTGAGACCCGCCAGCTCTCTTCCGAAGCTGGAATCCATCAGGGTGGATGGGTCTCTGGCTGGGATGGTCCAGAGGCCCCACTCTGCATGGAGAGATCTGCTCTGGGTGGAGGGGCTCTGCTCTGGCTAGAGAGGCTCGCTCGGTCAGAACAGGGCCTGCTCTGGCAGAACGGGCCTGCTCTGGCAGAATGGGGGCCGGTCTGGCAGGACAGGGGCCGGTCTGGCAGAACAGAGGCCGATCTGGCAGAACAGGACCTGCCCTGGCTAGAAATTTGGATACTTGATCTGTGGGCACCTGAGTTGATTTCATTGCATTACTTAGCATCGTGTTTGCATACGGCATGAAGGTTTCAGGTTTCGGGCCCTGACCTTTTGGGCCTTCATGGTCTGACCTCTTTCAAGCCATGTCAAGCCATGTCGCTGACAGCGTGCTCATAAGCAACAAGAAATGCTTACTTCTCACATTAAATGCACTCCAAAGAGGTTTCCTATGTTCCAATTGTTTGTAACACTGAAGTGTGTTTCTATCATGTTTTTGGCCTTTGTAAAGTTGGTCACCAAAGGCTAACCTCGCTCAATTTAAATCTGTCGCCGGATTTTCATACTAAGGTCATGCTTAAAGCTCAATGGCAGGCACATCACAGCCCTAGAAGGCCTTTCTAACACTGTTTCTTTGATTGATGATGCTTGCTTAGTTTACAATACACCCCCTCATTTGCCAACGTTGGAGCGCGCGTCGTGTTGGTGTACGTGAATTTGACGGGTTGACGAGCGTTGCGCAGTCTTCGGCGCCTGTTGGTTGGCTCGGTCGGTGGGCGCGGCCCAGGGTAAGGCCTGGCTGGCCGCTGGCGGGCGTCGCGCTGACCGCTCGCCCCGCTCGCCCCGCCGCCAGAGGCCCGTGTGCGGCATACGGGACCCGCCGCCGAGGACGAGGAGGACAGCGTGGCGCCCACCGTATCGCGCTCCGTCCCAGACAGCCTGGACGCCGTGAAGGTGGGCGCGGCCCGGTGACGGCGCCGGTCTCCGGCCCCTGGGGCGGGGTGGCAGCGTTAGCGGCGCCAGCGTAACGCTGCGGTGCGCCGCGCGCGCGTGGGGGTGGGGGTGTGGATGCGTGTTGGCTTGTGCGTGTGTGGTGGGATAGGGGGGAGGGGGGAGGGTAGGTGGACGAGCGAGTTGGCAAGTTTGTGTGAATGGTATGAGCGTACAGATGCCGCAGACTTCATGTTTTTGACGACAGTCAGCGGAGTTCATCGTTGTTGTGTGACTCCGACCAGTGCTGATGTATTCACCTAGGCTGTGTTGTAACATTCACTGTCTGGTGCAGCTGCATGACTATTCACAGTCGACGCGTCCTAAAACACCAAACCACTGTCTGGCGTAGACAATGTGCAATGCGTGTTAGATTGCGACGGTCTTTATGCGTTGTTTTCTGCATTATGGGTTATGCACGCTTTGTTGCTGCTGACCACATGGGACGCCGGTGACGCGGCTGTCACAGCAAGGGTCTGATTGCGGTATACCTTTTGTTAACTTTAAAGGCCTGCTTATCCGACCCACCAATCCACCACGCGGGCTTGTAGTTGGGTACGCATCGCATGCCTGCACATAAGGATGTCATTGTACAGTTGATTGCACGCGCCCTCGTCTTTTGCAGGACGAGATCCATCGGTATGATCAACTGAAGGTGAGTAGTGAGTTGAAAGTCCGTGCGGATTTTGACCTGGTATGTAAGGGTTGTGCCGCCGTTCATTGTCCTAGATCAGTCATCTGGCCTTACAACGAAAGTGCTGCTGCTGCTAACAGGTCTCAGCTCTATTTATGCACGCGCCATGCCTCAAACTCTTCTAAAAAGCGTGCTGCGGTCGTGTGCACGCGCCGCGAGAAATGCCGGAGACGGCCGCGGCGGGGCGCCCTCAAGTGTCTGCTCTTAAGCGCCGGCGACCGCCTGCTCTGCCGCACGCGCCGCTTGGCTTCAGGAGAGCCGGCGTCTGGAGATGCTCCAGATCGAGCAGCAGCTGTCCATGTCCAAGTCGCAGGAGGGCCGCGAGCTCAGCAAGCAGGAGGAGTTTAAGAAACAGGTGAGCGGGCAGCCAGCCAGCGTCGGCGGCTGCAGCGGTGTGTGTACAGGGCGAGACGCATGCCGGGAGTGGAGTCTTCGGGCCGGCGGTGGAGGCCGCCTCTCGGAGCGGAGGTGGGCCGCGCCAGGAGGCCGCCTCTCGGAGCGGAGGTGGGCCGCGCCAGGAGGCCGCCCCTTGGAGCGGAGGTGGGCCGCGCCAGGAGGCCGCCTCTCGGAGCGGAGGTGGGCCGCGCCAGGAGGCCGCCTCTCGGAGCGGAGGTGGGCCGCGCCAGGAGGCCGCTCCTTGGAGCGGAGGTGGGCCGCGCCAGGAGGCCGCCTCTCGGAGCGGCTGCCCGTTACCGCGCCGGGATTGGCGGCTCACACCACTGCCATCAGCTGGAAGGCCGATGTCTGTGTGTGGTCTGGATGTGTGGATATCGGAGCACTCTGAGCGCGCATGTAATCCGCATGGCCTGCTGGGGTGCATGCTGCAGCCTCCTGGTGGATACAGCCTGGAGGGGGGCTGCTGCCGGGACTCACGCCCACCGCGGTGACCGGTAGTGCTCCCGTGGACCCCGCCCGCACTCTGATTTCCACCACTCCTCAACTTCCATTCTTGCCCGTTTTGGCTCGGTATGAGTATTGCGTCGTGAAGCCCCGCCGACCCACACCCCGCAGAATTACCCGCGCCAAGTGCTCGTGCCCGTTTTTGTCCGTTCTCAGCTATGAACGGCGCGTTGCGTGGTGTACAAACCTTATGCTGTAAGGGTTTACTCCACGTGAATTTGAGCACAAGTTTAAGTGAAATAGCGTCCAGGAGCAACCTGGAAAAAGGGATAGAAATAAGCCGGCTCATTCCGGCTTGATGGTCGCTATTTAGCACCAACTTGTACTTATAACCGTTGCGACCTTCCACACATCGATCTGTCATCACTCCCACTTATGTTAACCGTGCACCGTTATGTCCCTGAAGCTTGCCACGCTGTGTCGGCCGTGTCCCGTCGTCCCACTCTACCATCTGGCATGTGCTCGACGCCGTCTGACCGTCCCGGCCGTCGCCCCGGCAGCTGCTGGACGAGCTGGTTGAGGAGCAGGCGCGACTGGACGCCGACGTGGCGCGCGTCGCCGAACAGCGTGAGCGCGACCACCGCCGCCTGCTGGGCACGGTGGCGCAGCTGGAGCAGGAGGCTGACCGCAGCGCAGCGCAGGTGGCGGCCGCCGCCGCCCGGCTGCGCGACCCCAGCGCCGTGCTGGCGCGGCTGGCGCTCGATCGGCGCGAGCTCGAGCAGCTGGTGATCGTGCGTCAGGAGGAGTGCGACGCGCTGCGCGAACACGAGGTGAGGCGCTGCCGTGGGCACAGTGCACGCTGCTCGTCGGAACTCCTCCAGAGGGGGCTCAGGCGGAACACCTCAGGCGGAACAACGGAACACGGAACACCGCTATTGTACTCGCCGTTGGTAATTCCCCTCGTCCGTCAGCATCCGTATATTGTAAATCAAGCTTTCGCGAGATTCCCAAGTCCAGCCAGCTGAGTGGCGATGCATAGATTTTAATTCATGCCGTTAAAGGGACTCATACTGCAACTCGGAGCGGCGTCTCCGGTTATTGTTTACCACTCGGCATGACATTGGATGGTGGTGCAGTGACCTGCAGTGACCTGCTCTTCCAATATGTCAGACTCCTGGAAACCCGGTTAGCCCGGTCGTCTATGCCGGTTGTTTGATCTCTTGGGAGAGGAGGGGCAGCCTGTTATGGAGACCGAACAGAGGGCTCCAGTTGCGTTGCCTACCTGAAGTCAGCATCCTTACATCGATGGATGGATTGGGAGAGCGCTGAGTTATGGGGGCATCGTTATTTGGCCCGATATCTCTTGATCATATGCCGAACACCTTTGATCACCTTGTCGCGCATGCGGTAGCCGTCTTCACGCACACTGCCCTTGCAATGTCCGTGCGTCTTGCAAGCGGACGGTGTCGGTCGACTGACTGCTGTCGACCGGCGCAGGTGATGGAGTCAATGCAGCAGCTGATGCGCGAGTCTCTGGCCATGCAGAACCAGCTGCAGGAGTACCAGGAGGGACGCGACCGCGCCCTGCAGCAGGCCCTCTCGCAGTGAGTTCTCCAGCTCTCTGTCCGCCGGGCCCGGCTCGGTCCGGCGGTCTGTGGGCGCGCCGCTCAGCTCCCGCCGGCGTGACTGGAATGGGACGCAGGCCGGGCCGACTGAGTACCGGCTGAAGGCTGGCGCGGATGGGGCGATGGAGGCTGTTGGAAAGGGAGCGAACGCTTGTTTTAGACTGACACCAAGCGTCTCCGACCGCTCCACGCTTCAACAATGTTTCATGAACGACAGGACGATGCGTTCTGCGTGAGCGCTTTTTTAGTTTTGGGCGCATCTGAATCGAACCTACGTGAGTGTAGCGCGGCCGGAGCTTCGTCACCAGGCATCGAGGCGGCTCGAAGTCTGACGCCAGCAGTCGTGTGTCCAGCACGTACCGGCGCTTCAGCGATGTTTGCTGCCCCGCCGGCCGGGTCGACTTCCCTCAGGTCTGACTCCAGCCCCGTTTCCAGGGACCAGCAAACTGACGCGCAGCTGCGGCGGCTGCTGGAGGTGAAGGGCTCTGAGCAGGAGGCGCGGATCCAGCAGCTGCTGAAGGATGAGGCGTTCCAGCGGCAGGCCTTCTTCAACCTCTATCTTCAGCAGGCCAGTGCCCCGGGGTTCCGCTTTCCACCATGTAACAGTGCCTGTAAGAATTTTCACACAATTTCACGCCTTCACGCAATCCGATGTGCAAGCAGGTGAAACGTGCGGTCGTGGGCGCATGTCTACGACGGCAGCAGCTCACTGAAGCACACCGTGTGCCTGTGATAGCACGCGTTCGCATTTCTTCCGGATGGGCCACTCCCGACTAATGTTATGTTCAATCCGCGATGTGTTGGGCCCTCAGTGGGCCGATGAGCCCTCAGTCCGATGTATAGCGTGTTCTGGCGCTTTCGCAGGACGCCAGCCGTCTGCAGATCCTGCACCAGATCTCTGAGGCGGAGGACGCACTGCTCCGGCTCACGCTGGTGGAGGCCAACCAACGCGACGTCAGCAAAGACTCCGAGCTGGTGAGTGCGGGGCCGGAGCTGCCCACGGCCGGCCGGGCAGGCGGAAGTCGTGGGGTCATGTCCGGGGTGAATAGGCACCGCTTGCCGCGACAGACACGGCCAAGGCTGCCTTTGCGAGGCGTCAGCGACGGCGGGTGTGCCATGCCGCCGTCAGCGAGACAGCTGGCGCTGCTGGCGGGCCGGGTCCTGCTAGCTGGCGGACCGCCTCAGTGGCGTGTCGGGGCGACGGTCACTGCTCGTGACTCCGCCTATGCGGCCGGCCCGCTGACCGCCGTCTCAGTGGCGTGTCGGGGTGGCGGTCACTGCTGGTGTCTCCGCCTATGCAGCCGGCCGCTGACCGCCGTCTCAGTGGCGTGTCGGGGTGGCGGTCACTGCTGGTGTCTCCGTCTCCGCGGCCGGCCGCTGACCGCCGTCTCAGTGGCGTGTCGGGGTGGCGGTCACTGCTGGTGTCTCCGTCTCCGCGGCCGGCCGCTGACCCCCATCTCAGTGGCGTGTCGGGGTGGCGGTCACTGCTCGTGTCTCCGTCTCCGCGGCCGGTCACTGCTGGTGTGTCCGTCTCTGCGGCCGACCGCTGACCGCCGTCCACCGCCCCAGGAGCGGCTCACGGAGAAGCGGCGCCACCTGGCGCAGCTGCTGGTGCAGTTGATGGAGCAGCGGGCCACCCGCGAGCGCGAGCTGCAGCGGCGGCTGGCCGAGATGGACGAGCAGCGGCGCGGCGAGGTGCAGCACTACTGGCTCGTCCAAGTGAGAGCTGACGTCGCCAGATGTCTCACCGACGCACGGTGCCAGCCACGCTGCTGACTAGACCAGATGTGAACACTCCGCCGCCACCAGCTTACTAAGTGATACACCCATTAGCAGCACTGCCAGCCGATCGCGGCAGCACTACCAGCCGATCGTGGCAGCACTACCAGCCGATCGTGGCAGCACTACCAGCCGATCGCGGTACAGACACTTCACCAGCTCACTGATGAGCATGCCGTCCTCGGCTGCTCAGCCGGTTCCGATATAAACACTCACCACTAGCGCATTTGCCGACATGTTGCGTCTCCAGCAGTACGACTGGCTGTTTCATGCACAAACTCTCGCCACGGGCTGTTTGATTGACACAGCTCCTCAGCGGAATGCCACTGACTAGTTCAGGTGCAGACACTCGCTCCCAGATGGCCTACTCCAGCGGAATGCCACTGACTAGTTCAGGTGCGGACACCTGCTCCCAGATCGCTTACCTTAGTGAAATGCCACGGGCTGATTCAGATGCAGACACTCGCGCTCAGGTGGCTTACCTTAGCGGAATGCCACTGGCTGGTTCAGGTGCGGACACTAGCTCTCAGATCGCTTACCAACACGCTGCTCCGAACAGCACTACTGGCTGGGTGAAGTACAAACACTCCAGGTTCTGCCAACTCATCACAGACATGCATTGTGTCAAAAGTGCTCCTGGGTTCAGTAACTGAACTCGAGAGCACTACTGGTTGGTTATGACCCATTCAAATGTTGTATAGCACGTAACACATTACCTCTATTCGGACTAGATACGGCAGCCAGTCACAGCGCAGTTGCCTTGCCGTGATACAAATCGCTGACTCAACGTATGAGGAGTCTCGTAGAATCGGTTGGCACGTAGTCGACCTCGGGTGGCCGGTCCGCCGCCCGCGCCGCCAGCACCACAGCGTCCTTAGCGGCACCCCGCGCCCGGGCGGCGCCGGGTGACTGCGGTGGAACTGGCCGGCGGTGCAGCTGCGGACCAGCTCCAGCTCCCGGTGCTGGTGCTGGTGTTGGTGCTTGAATGTCCGGTCACGTGGGCAGCGCTGCACTCGTCAGCTCCGAACGACTTGTGCTCCGGGGTTTTTCATGGGTGTCATCCTCAGCCAGCGACCAGTAATGAACGCTGTCCAAGGGAAAGGAAAATAACACTGGGTCCAATTTGTGTTTGGAAAGGTGAAAAGAAGGCTGGAAAATTGAAGTCATCATTGTCTTATTTGAAGTGCTTTCCGCTGAAGTAGCGCGCATACAGAAGTTATGCTGTTTTTGCTTGTATCTTTTGGCTAAAAACACACGTTTTATATTCAGAAGAAATGAATAAGTCTGAAAGACCGGGCTCATTGCGCCTGTCAAACATCGATTCAGAGAAGATTAGATGATGAGCATTTCTTGCTGGCCGTTTCAGAAGGGCGAATTCTGTGCAGGGTGCTTTCCAAGTGATGTTGCTAATTAGATAACAATTTGGCTAGCATCTACTTCACAAGTTCAGATTAAGCAAGTTTTATTTCGGTTGGCTATAATTGTGTTCTACCAGTGTTCTACGTTCGCCGTCTCACCCCATTGACGTTTTCTCTGCAACTGGTGCAAAACGGGGAATTGAAATTTCGGAGCTAAGAAAGAGGATTCTTGCAAGCCTACAGATTTCAGACCAGATCTTAAACGCGTTTCAACACACACACACACACACCACACACGCACACGCACACGCACACGCACACGCACACGCACACGCACACACGCACGCACACACGCACGCACACGCACACGCACACGCAAACGCAAACGCACACGCAAACGCACACGCACACGCACACGCACACGCACACGCACACGCACACGCACACGCACACGCACACGCACACGCACACGCACACGCACACACACACACACACACACACACACACACACACACACACACACACACGCACACGCACACGCACACGCACACGCACACGCACACGCACACGCACACGCACACGCGCACACACACACACACACACACACACACACACACACACACACACACACACACACACACACACACACACACACACACACACTCTCTCTCTCTCTCTCTCTCTCTCTCTCCGCACAAACATAACAGGAGTTATTCCGATTGTTGCCTGGGTTGAAATATACATGCAACCTGTCTTTTGCAAGTCAGCCAATAGTCTCTTATCCTCTACTACATGTTTCCAGAATGCATCCTGTCACTATCTCGAAACTGATTCTCGCTCGGTATTTTAAGGTTTAAGCCTCAGGATACTTTCCGCCACTACCATGGTCGCCATTTGTACGCGGTTATTCCTGCCGTAGCTTGTGTATGGAAAGCACGCCAACCTGATTACTTGTAGGCACCGCAGTGTACGCCATGCGTATATTTCAGTGTTTCGGTCGCATGGTACAGTTAGGTTGCCCGTATTTCTCATGTTTTCGGGTCTGTAGGTGACTCTTTCCATTTCCGATGATACGCTTCCTCATAATTGATGTCGGACTGGTATACTTATTTTTAAAACAAGGGAATTTCACAGCGTTGTTGACTTATACCTTCACACCATTTTGTACTGTTAAGACCTGCTCCTTATCATTCGAAACGTCGATATTATAGCAGTAAGCCAACACCAAATACTTGCGTATCGCGTATTTGCGTAGTTGCACTTGCTTATGATTGCATATTGTCATCGCGCTTAAAAACACCTGGACCACCGACGGATCACACAATTTGTGCAACACTGGAAGCCAAGACATCTAAGGGCCTGGGCCAACGCTTTCGCGGGACCGGCACAACATGTACCGTTAGCCATCACGTCCTGTGCATGTGTGACTGCCTTAGCGAAACTCAATCGTGCCGTAATGCCGCACTGTTGGAGCCGATAGCCACCTGCGTGCCTGTGCCGGGTGCTGCTTACTACAACCTGTCTGTGTCTTTCTCTCCCATTCCTTGCGCGCTAGTCGGCGCAGCAGGACGTGCGCTACTATTGGCTGGTCCAGGTACGCTATGACCCCGCCACGTCTCGCTCGCCAAGCACGCTCTCACTGCCAAGCGTCCGGTCACGCTTTGAGGCGTCGTCGCCATGCCCACACCGACACCGCGCTTTGGACTGCGCAATGTACCCGTCTCAGTGTCTGGTACATGCCTGGGTCTCGGGTAAATCACGGGATCGGGGGCTCGCGTTGCGTCTCTCGAGGACTACGAGATGCGGAATCCTTCCGTAGGACGCAGCCACATGTCCACGAAGCATGCGCTCAGTCTTCCTGGAGCCGTGCCCATCTTCCGCATTCTGGTCTGTTGATGTAGGCGCTGCCTCATTCATTAGATTCACGTCTCCTGCCGCACGGTGCTGTAAACAGGCAGCATGTGATGCGTAGCTCCAGTTGGCATGTCTCACTTTACCTCTGGTCAATTGGTCAATGCTCGGGATGCCAGTTTCACCTTATTACGCACAATGCTAACTTGTGATTCTGTGTTTTCAGTATCAGCGGCTTCTGGACAGCAAACCTGAGCGGGTCAGGTACGTCATTTCTGCATTAGCTGTGTCACTGTCCACCTGGCTTCTTAAGGTCCAACAACTTGTGTACCCTTTTCTGATAACGACCCTTAGCTACGGTGCTCCAATGGGCCATTTTGCCGTGACATTCGAAGCAGCACAAGTTTAATAACATTTCTGGAGTTTACGTACCATACGTGTACTTGCTGTGCTAATCAAGAGTCTGCCTTAATTAGCCTGTTCTGCATTGTGCTGCTCCTTTCGTAATACGTGCATGCAAAGACAGCTGCTTTTCAAGTGTTTTGAGCTCCATTGTCGGAGATCATTGACCGAGACGTGGGCAGAACACAGCGGCGTTTTTCATTCTCACTTTTGTTGCAGTCATTGTAAGGTTTCTTTAACATATATTGACCACATACAGACAATTGTTTGCCCGCTCTTAAGCTGCCATAAAAAGTAGGTGGGAGCGGGTCGGCAGGCGCCGGAATGGTGGTAAGGAAAACTGCGTGCCGTTGAAAGGGACTTTTTGTGCAAAATTGTCCCAACAGCTTCAACAAGTGCGCCCCCATCTAGCGTCAAAACATTTGCATGGCCACAGCGACCACGCATTGCGGTGATTTTATATATATATATATATATATATATATATATATATATATATATATATATAATTTATAACAAACATGACTACCGTTGCTGGGCAACACACGTTTTTCATGCGTCAAATCACGTAGGATATCGAGTGGAATATTATTTTGTCTGGTGCTGTTTGCATTCCTGTTTCAGTGGCTGTAGATTGGCCGCACATTGTAGTCCAGTTGGGCGTCATTTCTACCCGCGGCAGAAGTGTTTGGATCATGATTTAATAGGCAGTCCACTCCGTCACACATTTTTGAAAGTTAGGACAAAAATATCATGCTGTGTTTCATTTTGTGTTGAGAACGTCTGCATAGGGGTTTTCTGCGCTCTGGATTTAGGTGCACAATATCTTGGGACAAGTGGAAGGGACGGCCAAGACCTTGGGCATTTTTGGAAGGTAACCGGGCGAGGGTGTTCTTGATGGTCTGCAACTGAATAAAGAGTAATACGCATGATCAAAACGCATCGCTGACTCGTGATGCCCCATTATATTGGTGGTTTTATATTTTTTGTTAATACGCACTTTGAAATAATTACCTGGCTCCGTCTTGTCACGATACCTATTTTGCCTTCGCGATGCCGGCTTTTTGGTTTTAAAGGCTTGAAACGGAGAATGGTGATCGTTTTGCTTCAGAAAATAAATAAGCTTTCTCCTAATGCTCGTGATTTGTGTTCGACACGCGAAATCAGCCTTACCGTCACTTCACAGACAGTGAGTTCTGTGACGTTAAACTTTCTATATTTTTTAACTGTGTATACCTTAACTTTTTAATTTGTTTTGGTTCATTCCGTTTGTGCGAAAATTATTTAATGAGTACTCATTTAATTGATTATTTTTTTAATTGGGTAAACTATCCACATAAATTATTTACAATTATTTTATTATCAAATTAATTATTTTGAGTATTCGTTTATTCGTTTATTCGTCCAGACAACAGAGCAATGCCTACCTTCTCTAAGTGAGCACATCATGAAGCTGACTAGACACCACGTGATCTACCAAACAAGGTCTGTGCTTCCTCGCGCGATGGCTTTTGCCAGACGGCACAAGTATTTGCTCTGGGTATTTTCGACGTAAATAATCTATATGCGGTGCTGGACTTAGTCCATGGCTGTTGCGGATACTCGTCCCAGCATGCGGTGCACCCGTTGGCAGTTTGCGGCCGGAACATGGCGTGCTACTACACCATCAGAGGTCCATCAGAGCCCCGGATGTGTGTCTGAGGACACGAATCACGCCTGCTGTCCGCAGAGACGCATGGGCGTTGCATGACCTTCAGCAGTCGATGCGTCCTAAAACCCCAAATCATCATCATCATCCGCAGAGACGCCACTTACGCATCCGAGGTCATTGCCGCGCACAGAGTAGCGGCCCTTAGTCCGTCCCCTATTCCTTGGGCGAACTCGAGTCATCAGTGTTCAGTAACGCGCTCCACCAGGCTCAGCATATGACATGAGTGCTGCAAGTTCATTGCCTTTTTGCGCGGAATAAAAACACCTGTGCGCCTCGACCCGCCAAACCCGTTAAGGATGGATGTTGCATGCAACGCAGTGATGAAACGCCATCTTTATGTTTCCGAGGTCAGCAGCTTCATTTTCTTAGGTTTTGGTGTCGCCTACAAGGCCGTAACACTCGACCGATCACCGTTATATGGTAACATTTCGCTCGTCCCATGCCGTGGGAGGCATGTTGCGGGTTGTGAAGATCAGACGGCGGGCGTGACCTGGCCTTTTTGAGTGAGGACGACTTTTAGGACAGGCTAACACCCAAAACAACATGGGTCTGTACTCGTTTGGCTCGGTTCTGACGGATCGTTAAGAAGCGTTGTGGAAAGATCCTACCGAAAAACCGCGGGACTATAAAAACGGTACAAGGCTCAAAATTGATTGAAGTCCTGAATCTTGTTTGGATCTACTTTGAATCAGCTTGGCCGAACTAACTCGTGGCTGGTGGCTGGTGGCTGGTGAGCACGATTCTTATGTTATCATCGATTTAAGCCTGCATTTTTGTTTTACGTTTTCAAACTATACCATTTTGCGGGAACTTTCGCTCCCACTCTCAAAGAAAAAAGCGTGCTGGACCTTGGACTCTGGCTCCGTACGAAGAGCCACAAGCCTGTTGTGCTCTTGCAGGCAGCTGGAGGAGACGCTGGATGATAAGGTGAAGGAGCTGCTGCAGAGCGCCGGCGCCGAGGACTACCTCACCATGTTCGCCACCAGCGGTGTCCAGTACAAGATGCTGCTGTATATGGACGACGCTGAACTGATCGAGGTGCTGTTCGGCTGCAGCGTTCTGGACTGCTGGGGACCGGCTGGGCGGGCTCGTCCGCTGACGCTGCATAGACTGCCCTGTCAGAGGCCGCGCGGCCACGGGAGCGGGTGTTGTAGAGATGTTGAGCCGTTGGGAAGAGGGTGAAGTACAGTCCAGCAACGGAGAAATACTCAATATTAAGTCTGATGATGCATGGAAAGAAACAAACGGAAGACATTCGCTTGTGTGTCCTTCCTGCTATAGTAACTCACGCAGCCGGATGTCCTGCTGCTGGCTGACGTGGGGTTGAGCCGGCCGCTGTCCACTGAAGTGTGCCGCACGGCGCGGCCGCTGTTGCAGCTGGGAGTCAGTGACCTGTCGACGCGAGCAGCCATCCTGCGCCAGACGGCGCTGGCCAGGGACGAAGACGAGCTGAAGCCTCGCGCGCCGTCCGCGCCGCCGGCCGAGACGCCGCCGTCGGCCCCGGCCTGCGACGGGGCGTCCGCCGTTGCGGCCGGGGAGGCCCCGTCCACCGACGCAGAGGTGCGTCCCGCGCGCATGGCCGCCGCCGGCTGCTGCGCGCCGCTGAACACTCCCGGACGCGGCGGCCGGCGTGTGGCGAGCATATCAAGAATCCCTAGTGTGGTCTGCCACTCTCAGTTCTGAGAAGTGCGCGCTTTCCAGGGTCGGCTCGGTCCTGTGTTGAGACGTGGTCGCTGGGGCCATCCGCAGTGCGTGACGGCCGGTAGGCGCGTGCCATGTGACCTATGACCGTGCTGAGCGTCGCCGTTCCCGCAGGGTGCGGCGGCCGCTACCGACCGGACGTGTCAGTACCGCACCGCCCACACGGAGCTCGAGTGTGTGGTCTGCATGGACCACAAGGTGAGCGCGGCGCACCAGCAGGATCTCCGGCCGCACCGGCTGACCAGCACACCTGTGCCGACGGTGGCAGTGCTCGTCTGCCAGCGAGAGCGCGGCGACGCTGGCGTGCTCGCCGACGTCGACGTGTGTCAGACGTGCTCCGGATGCGTGTCAGACGTGCTCCGGTTGTATGTCAGACGTGCTCCGGTTGTATGTCAGACATGCTTCGGACATGTGTCAGATGTGCTCCGGACGTGTGTTAGACATGCTCTGGATGTGTGCCAGACGTGCTCCGGATGTGTGTCAGACGTGCTCCGGATGTGTGTCAGACGTGCTCCGGATGTGTGTCAGACATGCTCCGGACGTGTGTCAGACGTGCTCCGGATGTGTGTCGGACGTGCTCCGGATGTGTGCCAGACGTGCTCCGGATGTGTGTCAGACGTGCTCCGGATGTGTAACAGACGTGCTCCGGACATTTGCCAGACGTGCTCCGGATGTGTGTCAGACTTGCTCCGTAGCGGGCGGGTCAGACTGCTGGATGCGTGAGCAGGCGCGAGCGCGGAGTCTGAATCACCCATCGGTTTCACGCAGTGCGAGCTCGCACTAGCATGATGTATGGACAACCGCAGTGCGTGCGTACAGCGCAACTGAGGCGTGCGATTGAACCATAGGACGGAAAATGGTAGCAGGCTTCGGTGGGGTTGGCTTGAAGCTAACGGTAAATATTTAGTCGACCCTTCTAGGTGTCAGAATGGTGACGATTGACCTGGAACGTTTTCAACTGCAGCCGTCGGCGGCCACCTGTGTCACTGAGCCGGCGTCTCTGTTTCAGACCGAGGTGATATTCCTCAACTGCGGTCATCTGTGCGTGTGTCGCCAGTGCAGCGAACCGCTGCACCAGTGCCCGATGTGCCGGCAGCAGGTGCTGCAGAAGCTGGTCATCACCACCGCCTTCTGACGCCGCCGGGCCTGGCCGACGGCGGCGCAGGGCTGGCCAGGCGCCTCCGCCGGCGCGCGGCTCGAACGCGTGGCGCCTCCGCTAGAGGTCGAGAGCGAGCAGGGAGGCGGCTTGAGAGACCCGTCTGGGGCGCCAGAGACATGAGCCGGGTGTCGGGTTTGATTTAGGCCCATTCGTAGCACAGTCGGTATCGTTCTCTCCATTCGAAGGATAGGCTTATTCGAAAGGATTGTGGGGGGGGGGGGGGGGAGCGGGAGCCAGCGAACCGGCATTTTCAGACCACGAGGACGGATCCACGTGCGGAATCGCTACGTCTGCTGTTTATGATAGCCATTTGGTGCAATATATCATTTGTCACGCTTGGGGCAACTATGCTTTTCCAGGAACAAATGCATTGGGAGCATTGACTGAACTATTCAAGTGCGTTATATATTTTGATACTTTGAGCGAAGCTGATGAAATGACGCAGGACTGGGATTAAGCGCACATTGGGGGTGCAAAAAGGTCAGCGTTGATTGAAAACGACAAGAACGAGAGACGATAAAGGGCAGGTGTAGTAAGGCTGTTGCCTCATGTGTATTACTTTACACGCGAGAATTCTCTCGCGGTATCCAGCATTTGTTGAGATGTGATATAGCACGTTTATAGCGTACGGCAAACGCAGCGGTTTCGCCCGTGGATCAATTTTCACACTGTACATTGGAGTCGCGCCTCGCTCGCTAGAACCGTGGGTCGGCCAACGGGGTTAAGGTTATCATGCTCGATGTGCAATATGCGTCTGACCTCATGAGTCTGGAGGCAAGTAATTCCTTGCGCGATCCCGGGGCTTCACGCAGGTTGTCAGCTGTCTGGGCTCGACAATGTGTCTTGTACCCACGTCGGTCGGAGATCCGTGCTATTGGACCGTGACTGGAACAGAATGCTATAATCCCGTAGGATACAATGTTTAGTGTTTACGCCATTGGTCCTGTGTTAATTACTCATTTGCAGGCGTTCTGGTTCTCGTCATACATTTGTGTTTGGTTGTTGTCTGGCTGTTGCACTAGTCACAGCGCTACAGGCACCACGATACCTGCGTCAACGGCCAGTTTAACGGTAGCAGGGGTAATATATGTGTACGCATATTTTATGCTCGTGCTTTGATGCCTGCTACGGCCAGTGTGACTCGCGTAACTAGCCTTTTTATGTATTTGATGTATGTGGATTATCTGTTGCTGTCATTATATTTGCCTTTACAGTATGTAAAATAACTGCATGCTGGCCTGTCATGCACGATTGGTATGCCAGCATCCCACACACCTGTAATCCAGTATGTGTGCTTTCCTAGTGCACAACAGTTATTCGTTGAGTCTGGTGCCAGCAAATTCACGCCTGCTACTGTGGTTTGCGCATATTGCTTCGTCCTCGGACATTACATTCCACAACTGGGGGTGTCGTTTCATATTAATTTAGGGTGGATGGAGGCGCCCTTGACCGCCTTCCCCACCAACCTTGAAAAGAAAGTTGGCCTCGTTCGGGGAGGAACCCCGTGTTTGGCGCATTTTGGAGGCAGGCTCAGCCGTTTCCTTGCTCAGCCCGACTTATTTTGTGGAACTCCTTCTCGGGGTCAACCTGCTTAGATAGAGACGTGTCTCAAAGCTATCTGGATGTGATCGCTGGGGGTGATCAAGCGCATGCAGCCCTGTTTCCAGTGCCCCACCAGCCCCCTGCCACTCGGCCTGCAACGAAGTGTCGGTATCGTGGGTTTGCCATCGGAGAGCGCTAGCTAGCCTTTTCTACGGCGTTAGTTGTAGATAGCCGGGTGGGTAGAGGGGGGAGGGAGGTGAGCTAAATCAGTCCTTAATACTCGCCAGCACCGCCGGGAAGGCCGCCAGTGAGGTGTAGACAGTCGGTTGGACGGGGGGACGGGGGAGGTCACTATGGCTGCTTCAGTCCCAACACCCGCCACCATCACTGGGAGGGCTGCCGGTGACGCGCTCTGGTCGGCGCGTGGGATGGCGGCAGAGTCTGGCATTAGCCCGCTATCGTGTCTGTTCAGGATGCGGACGACCATCACCACGCCGAGGCGTGACGCACTGCCGCCAGCCCGGCGCCGGCCCCCGGCCGCGCGGTTGACTGTGGCGTGCGTGCGACGGCCGCCGTACCGGCTGATGTGGGCGGCAGCGGCTGGTGAACGCCGTTCAGGCGCTTTACGCCCCTCCTCGTCGGTGACGATCAACGCGCCTAAGTGGGTCGGCGACGTCCAGTGAACATTATTCAGGGACGTGATGCCCTTTCCTATTGGTTTTCTTGAACGTATCAGCACTGTTCGCCACATCCGGGCACGAAAGGCTGTATGATCGGGCGGCGTTCACAGCGAGTCTATGGGACAGCACAGGTCCTCCGCGCTCTGGTGGAGAGCCGCTGTAGTGGAAGGGGTCGCAGTCAACGAACAAGTCCGCGTGACTTCATGCCTAGTGCGATCCGAGCTACCGTGGTGTGCTGGACTCGCTAGTCGTCCAGCTTGCGATCGTAGTGTGTAATTCTGATGCTCTCGTCTCTTCTAAGTGGCGTGTGCGATTTCGGATGTTCAGGCCCAGTGGCGGGTGCAGTCGCACCATGTTAAGCGTGTCCGGTTCGCATATCACCCTGCGGCGTGACGCGTCCCGCGTGCAACACGCTCGAATGTCTTGGCCTGTGTGTGATGTCGGATCATGACGTGCCAGAATAGTAACCGAGCTCGGGTTTATCGGTGATCAGGAAGGCTCTGAGGGGTTGTAAAATAGGAAATCAAGGCTTCGGTGATGTTGGAGCCGGTGGTGTTTGATCGCCCTTTGGACCTCTTGGTCGGCGCGGTTTTCTGTATTGGTGCTTGCGCTTTTGCTGCACACCTTTGTGTATCATTTGGTGTTGTGCCGTTATGATTAAGTAGAGGACACGGATTGGCCGTAGTCAGGAGGCGCACGTCAGGGCGCGTCAGTACGCGTGTGTTAACCTATCTGCCCGGTTGCTCCGATGCATTCTTTAAATGTGTGGCCTGGCTTCGATATATCCACGCTATGCGTGCGTGTTGAAACTGGTAGGGTTTACGCCCATAGAGTTCGACCAGTTCGTGGCCGTGGTGGACCTACTCTAACACCATCCCTCCCACGTTCCACTATTTGTTGCGGGCACAGGCGCTAGCGAGTTCAGCCACGAGCCGCCGTCCTGCTGGCCCCGCGTTTCCTCCGCGTTTTGTCCTCCAGCCTTCGTTGCCCCCTGTTTGGCGCTTGCGTGAACGCCATGCTCAGGTGCGCTTGCTTCTGTAGCGGGTCCAGGACAGGGGCCGCAGCCTCCGACGGCGTGCCTTGCGTGATGACGCGTGCAGTGGGGTGCAGAGGCCCCCACTGCACGTGTGCCGTAGCCCCTCCGCTCCGCAGCTGATCGCCTCGGGGCGGGCGTCGCTGTGACCTCGGGGCGGTCACGATCGTGATGTCCGCCATGTTCCGATTTCTATGTGGACAATACACCCGGTACACTTCACACCTTCCATGTGGACAATACACCTCTCGACCTATGGTGGTGCGGCCCAGCTGACGTTCAGTCCTTCAGGAGCTTCAGGGAAAGAAGGGACTATCCTCGGGCAGCATGCCGAGACCCCGTCAGACCGCCGGAGCCCCGCGTCCACTCAGAGCGCGGCCGTGCCCCGGCCAAGCCAGGCACTGGCAGACAGCACGTGTATTCCCAGTAAAAACGAGAATACGGTCGTTCATGGTTTAGTAGGTGGCATGTTAACAGCGGCGAGCCCAACCGCCCCTCCCCGGACACGCACCACACACCGCCCGCAACGTCCGTGATCACGCGCGTACGTCGCCGCCTCCATGAAGCCAGCCAGGTTCTACAGCTAGGGCAGACGAGGCGGCGGCACGAAGGCACGTCGAATATACAGCAAACAATCGGCAAGACGATTCGCAATGGTAAAATGAGATCATACAAATATCGTTAGGCGGCAGACCGTACGAACACGTGTAAACTGGTAGTGGGTGTACCACGAACGCGGGGCATGGGGAGGGGGCACACGGCATCCTCACGTGACGTGACCGGCACTCCATCAGGGTGGGCCGTCGGCGGGCGCATCCACGGATCCGGACAGCGCCGACAGATACCGCTATCCGCCAAAGGAAGGAGCGGTGGGGGGGGGGGGGACAACAGGCGCGTTAGCACGCGCCACCGTCATGGGCGGCACTCGGCAAGCGGGCGGAGCGCAGCGCGGGGAAGATTATTGCGCACAATCTCGGGGGCGCGGGGCGCGGCACGGCATCGTCTTGGCAATAGGCAAGGACTGCAGAAGGGCGGCCCGGCCAGGCCGCTCGCTCCGCACACATACACACCCGTCCACGCAAGCACATAGACTGCATCCAGTCCCGCATTCACGGCACCTCAGACTTGTGCTCCTTTGAGCATTGCTGCCATGGACTAGAATAGCGTACCCCGTTAGGCTCGTGGGCCCCGCTGTACTCCTGGCTTCGTCGGTATTCCCCGCGCGCCCGTGCAGCTGCGGGGGCCCGGTCACGTTTTCAGCTCCGCTGCGAGTGCTTCTCTCCCCGCGGCAGGTCCACGGCGCCCAACACCCGATGGTGATGACCCAGGACGCCTCCAAGTCTCCCGGGACAGTACGGGACACCCGAACATTCGCAAGGACGGGATGGGATGCTTACACACCTCCATGGGGCGCCCGGGGCGCCGAGCACCTCCGGGGAGCACCTATCACCCAGGCCTGTCCTCCATGTCGTCGGTCCAGCGCTCCTGCACGTCTGGCGGGAGACCTCAGGCTCTTATCCGCTGGCCGCCCGGAGCGCTGCGCTGTCCGTCAGGCCGGCGTGGGGCGCCTTCGTCCCCAGAGAGGCGCCGCTCTCCAGGCCGCTGGCACGCTGGGGCGCCGCTGTGAACCCTTCGGCACCGCTGGCTTCGGGGGCCTCTCGTCCCTTCGGTACCGCCGGCTTCGGGGACACCCCTCGCCCGTTCGGCACCACCAGCCTCGGGGCCACCCCTCGCTCCTTCGGCACCGCCAGCCTCGGGGCCACCCCTCGCTCCTTCGGCACCGCCGGCTTCGGGGCCACCCCTCGCTCCTTCGGTACCGCCAGCCTCGGGGGCACCCCTCACTAATTCGGCACCACCGGCCTCGGGGGCAACCCTCGCCTCTTCGGCACCGCCAGCCTCGGGGGTACCCCTCGCCCGTTCGGCAACACCGGCCGCGGGGATACCCCTCGCCTCTTCGGCACCGCCGATCGCAGGGGCACCCCTCGCCCGGTGTCATTCGAAGCTGATGAGGTTGGCCGGCAGGGGCTGCGCGCGCAGTCCGATGGCCGCGTCGTGCAGCTGCTTCACCCACTCCTCGGCCTTGCCCTGACTAGACGCGCGGAATTTGTACATGTCACCTGCCGGACGAGACAGTTAACGCGCGGGTTACGGTGGGCCCCGACAGGCGGCAGCACTGCACTGCGCGCGTCGTGCAAGTCGCTACAATGTGGATCTCGTCCGCGTCCGGTAGTACGATAGTGCGCACCACACAGCGGCCGAGCAGTTCGTGACGTATCAGTTACTCACCTGAGGCGGGGTTCTGCAGGATGAAGGTGTCCTTCAGCCACGACACGTCGTCCACGTGCACGGACCAGTGGCGGATCGTGTGCATCTTGCTCGGCTCTGATTTGAAGTCGCTCCGCTCCGTGCTGCGAAGAAGGGCGTGTTACGTGAGGGGAGAGGGCTGCTGCCGATGACTTGTGGTTGTCAGGTAGCGGTTTGGGATTGACGACGGCATACGGAACCAATGTTAATTAACCATTTAGTGCGCTAGTAGCGCTGTGTGAAGCAAACGCCATTCTATGATTTAATGCTCTCGCCTTGCAGACGAGTTTCAACAATGTATGGAACCAATCTTTATTAACCATTTAGTCTGCTAGTAGCGCTGTGTGAAGCAAACACCATTCTATGATTCAATGATCTGGCCTTGCAGACGAGTTTCAACAATGTACATCATCACTTAGCAGTCTTTGGATCAGAACCTAGTTTTCCCGCGTACCGACGCCAGTCCGACGCCCTTAATATCTAAACACGCAACGTCTCCTGAAGATTCATCGTATACACTCAACGTGAGCAAGGACCATGGCACATTTCAAAATTGCAATCGGGGGCGACGATCCATCCCCGCCGCCTGCACCTGCAGCGCCCACAATGCCAGCCGTAAAAGATGGCGTCCAGGGCACGTACCACTTGATTTTTTTGCAGCTGAAGTAGACGAGACTGTCGGCCCACAGCTGGACCCAGTAGCGTTGCCAGGTGGCCACGGGCGGGCGGCGGCCCGACTTGAGCAGCGTCTTGCGGCGCAGGCAGCCCTGCAGCGTGCAGACGGCGCCAGCCTCCATCACCAGCTCGTCACACTCGCCGTCCCTGCGCACGAGAGAGTATGCCATCAGCTTCCATCACCAGCTCGTCACACTCGCCCTGAATGTGAGAACGACGGTCGAGGATATATATATATATATATATATATATATATATATATATACCAAATTACCCCTGAACAACCGTCTCTGAACCAGAATAACATTAGGCTCTATTCGCTTTATTCGGGTTCGGAATCGATTCCGCTCAAATGGAATCAAGTGCAAGTCTAGCAATTAAGGCCGCATCCCCAGCCTATCACTCGCGCCGCCCCTGAGGAGAGAAAGGGTCGCCAGGCTCCATCTTCAGCTTATCGTCCTCTCCGGCCCGGATGGGAGGGGGTAAGGGTCAGACCAGGTCACCACCCTCCATCAACAGCTCGCCGCCGTCGCCGCTCACCCTGATCGGTGAAGGCGGGTCATCGAACCCCACCAACAACGACGCATGCTGGTCCCAGCCATGTCTAGAACGGGTGGTCCGTAAATGCGGCAAGACCAGAAACCGCCACCGGCGTCGTTAAGGTAAGCGTGTTAGCAATGCAGCCACACCATACACATTTTACATACATGCGACGGGCGTACATGACAGCCGACCTGTCACACATGGATCTGTCACATGTTGCTGAACCTGCCTACAGACAGATCTGTCACAGACCATCCAACGACGCACGAACACAGCATAGGCAGCCTGCGAACACGGCACAGCTATCCGACGACACACCGGAGGTCCACGGACTCGATGGTGTCGCTCGGGGTGTTGGGGCACGCCGACGGCTCCGCGGACTCGTGACAGAGGCATGCAGCGGGCGGCCGCGTCCGGCCGCTGCCACGGGCCGACGGGCCGGCGCCAGCCGCCGCCTGACCCGCCGCCACTCACAGCATGGGCAGGCTGGCCGAGACGTGGTCGCCGTCGGCCGACCGGCCCCCCTCGCCGTCCGGCAGGTAGAGCGAGGCGCACATGGCGTCGCCGGCGCTCAGCACCGAGTCGTCGAGCAGGTGGCGCGGGGCGGCGCCCGACGGCAGGCTGCCGGACCGCGCCGCATCGGTCGTTAGTACGCGGGGAGCGACGGCCCCGGGCAGGCTGGGCAGCGCGGCGCGGCAGCGGTCCGGGACACGCTGCGGTCGCAGGGAGCCCGCGCGCACGGGCTGCGGAGATGCTAAGCGACGTCACAGGATCTCAGGCACCAGCTGGCCGGATTGGCTGATGGATGTCTGAGTGTTGGAGAGCATGGGCGTAAGTTGTCCGGAGACAGGAAGGGGAAAAGCCGAGGGAGAAACGGAGAGAGGGAGCGAGAAAACAGGAGAGAGAGAGAAAACGGGGAAAGGGAGCGAGAAAACGGAGAAAGGGAGCGAGAAAACGGAGAAAGGGAGTGAGAAAATGCGTCAGCGGCGTACCTGTGACGTGTCAGAATTAGTCGGTAAATTCGACAGCGTGGATTACAGTTGGCTATGAGCAGGCAGTAAGGCGGCGATTTAATGGAGAAATATGAAAGTGCGTCAAAAGCAAAGCTCAGTACAAAATTAATAGTCATGCACAAAGAAAACACGGAAAGCATGGACAACGTATTAGCTAATACAGTCTAGCATAGCATGAATCAGTGAGCAACACATGCTGGCCGCTAGGATGGGCCGTCGAGCTGAATTTCATAATGACTGTTTTCGAAACCTACCGATTCCGTTCTGGTCACGAAATCCCATGAAAGTTCTAAGACAACTTTGCGTTTGGTTCGAAAGCCGACCTTTAAAATATCGCCTCTTTTCGGTCCGACCAACTGGCCACGCTGTACTAGCACACACTAGCCAGTCATTACAGCTACTGGGTTTGGATTTCCATACTCCGGCCACGAGTGCACATCGAAAGCAGCGGCCATCGTCTCAGTGCACTCCACGCCATCCGCACCAGACGTGGATGGCGACCTCGGTCGGGGCACGCCAGCCTCCTCGGCCGGGTCACACCCGCCCCTGGCCGGGGTCGCGCCCGCCACGCGTGCGCCGCCTCCTACGCACGACACTCGAGCCAGAGAAGAGTGAAGAGCTGGGCAGCGGCCCCGCTCGGGGGCGCGGCCAACCGGCGGGGGCGCGGCCAACCGGCGGGGCCGGCCGGCCGCCGGAGGGCGCGCGCCACTCACCCGGGGCCCACGTGGTGATTCTGGCCGCACACACAGGGGGGCAGGCGACAGGAGCCGGCGCGAGGCAGGCTCATGCTGCGCGTCCTGCGGCCGGCCGCGCGCCACCCGTCACACGCGCGCTCGCGCCGCCCCAACACACCAGTCAGACGGCAAGAGCGACGGTCCGCCGGGCGAGTACGCTTACTACGTCATGGGACCAGACGCCGCTCTAACGTTCCTAATGTGATCATACACAAGTCAAGACGTCTTAGAGCCCTTGTATACATGGCGCATTCTTGCTTAGCAGAGGCATGTAGGTGGTTGTAACCGGTTATAACTGGATTCAACTAGTTGACCACTTCTGGGTTTCACTGTGAACCCGGGTGGATATTTGTGTATGTGACTCTAATGTGAAGGATCCTAGCTCATTCCAGGAAATTTAACACTGCGTGGAAAATGCTGTTCGTAAATTGGAGATGAGATCTTGTCCACACAATACAGAAGGCACCATCATAAAGGATTGTGTATACTAAGGAGTGTTTGAGTTAAGCATTAAGAAAGGTGCTTAATACAGTACAAGTCGTTAAGTTACATGACATTTTTCTTTTCACGAGTTTTCTTCGTACGTTGCAATGTTTTCGTGCAGCTTTGAAGTTAGCTTTAAGGCGAATCGGCAGCTCAGTCATTTGGAAGGTCTTATCCTGCAATGACAATTATTTGAGGATTCAAAGGGTCACGCAATGTGACATAACACGAAGGTAACACAATGCAACATAAAATGTAAACATCATTCAGGCAAAATTGCCTTACTTTATCACGCTCAACAAAAATTGTTTTGCATGTCAACAGTCACATATACCGAACTTAACCAGAAAAGATCCAAACCCCGCAAAGTCCTGCCCCAGTCTCTATTGAGGTGCGTTTTCTTCTTTTAGTAACGTTGAACTGCCACTTTTCCGGTCCAGTAATGGCCTTGCGTCGTTAAATTCCAAGTCGTCCCACTGCATGTTGTGCTGGAAGTTTCTGCATGTTCGGACATGGCCGATCTCTTGTGATCCTGTTCCCGTGGCGACTGGACAGCCCGTTTCGCCAAGGTCAGCGGCGCTACATTCGCAACTCATGCTGCGGACTATCAACCTTAGTTTGACTTTTGGTGCCGCATCCTTCTCGTCACGCCTGCCTGCTCTGCGAAGCAGCGCTGGGCGAGTGGCCAACGATACTTGACGCTGCTTCTCCCACCTCTCCGCGCTCGACGCAGGCTCCTCGCCTGGCGCTACTTAGCGGAACACGCTGCGCGTGCAGCCGAAACATTTGGCATCGCAAAGTCAAACTGAAGGGGAGTCCATGACACCACTTGTAAGTGTAACACTGGTTATGTTGGCGAGACGGGCTGTCCCAACGCCACAAGAACGAACAGACATCGGACCGTCTTCACATCCGCATCATGGACGACTCCTACGAAAGGTACATGTAAACAAATCCGCCGTCATCGGACGCGCAGCAAACACGCCGCACGACATCCCGTGGGATGGCTTCAATGTTCTCCCGCGCGATGAAAATTATCGAAAAAAAACTACTGAATCCGGCATGATCAAAAGGAACTCCCAGATCAGGGAGTGGGCCTGAAATGGGTAGCAGTGGGGACCTTTGAATTTCGAATAGCTTACGTGGGTTCTGATGTGCGCTAAAAAGTGATGTTTTCCGGCTTAAATGACATAGCATATAGAAGCTCAATCACGATAACACGCGAATCTTACTTCTTACTGAATGGCTTGGACGAAGGAATGTGTTCAGACTGTTTGATGGGCAGTTAACTGCTGAAAGTTTGGCCGTGCCGTGATACCAAAGCCCGTTTTAAATGCCGTGCGTTTTTGTCTCCGCCCACGAACAGACACCGTGTTAAAATGCCGCTCATGCATGAATGCCTAAATGGGCGTTTTGACAGTAGTGAGGCAGCTAATCAACATGCGCTTGCCTGCTTCAGCTGACTTTCATTTAACGTTCCTTCACTGCATGTCAACGGGCGTTTGGGGAGATTGGCACGAGGGATTGTAAATTGACCCGGCCCGTCATGCTAATTTCCAAACGCAATTCGAGAAAGGGGTCGCCAGGGCCCAGAAAGGTAGTTATAAATATATCTTATTTACTTCTTGGGTATGCTACAATCTACTGACCATTTGTACATTTCACGGTTAGAAAATGTCCCACAACCAGACTACCTTGCACTGAACTATAGCCGTGATCTCCGTAGCAAAGGCCAACGTCGTCGGTGGAGCAGCCGCACGACACACCGGCTCCGGCCCCCCAGTCCGCACGCACGTGTCCGCCGGAAGCGACGCGCATTCCCTCCTCCGGCGCCAAGGCCGCCCCACCGCAGCACGCGTGCCCGCACACGGGCGGCCGCCGACCGCAGAGGCGAGCCAAACGCGCGCGGCGCCGGCCCACAATGGCTCGCACGGCGGTGACGCACGGCGCGCGGGGCGGCGGGACCGCAGCGGGGACCGAGGCGGCGGACTGCAGCTCGGGGGACACCGGGGTCGCTGCACTGCGGCCCAGAGGGGAGGAGGGGGGAGGGGTGATACGCCTACGCGAGCGCGAACGCGAAGGTTCACAGTAATTGACCAGGCGGGTATTGAACCAGTGAGCGGCGGACCTGTCTGCACGTGGGGCTGTCGGCTGCCTTTGGTCGCCGCGCCTGTTAAGACGGGCCTATATGACGCCATCTCAATATCGCTCTTGCGACACAGGGGTGGCCGTGCGGACCACCGCGGCGGCTTCTGCAAAACTTGAGCTAGACCCCATTCATCGACGCTGTGTAAATATGAACGATCGGAGACAAACTGAGTTAGTGCTAGTGTGAGCATCACAGGGCATCATCCTGGCAGCTCAGACACAAGACATACACATCTCACCGGCGTGACATCCCCGCATGAGGAGGTGGGGTGACTGCCGGGTGTCGCAAGACACAATATGCCTTCAAACTTCACGGATGGCAGACTAAGGGGTCTCCCGTGTTTCCCGAAAAGATGCGCCCTCCACCAGGAAGCTTCGCAATGACCAGCAGCGCACCCAGCTCAAAATTAAGCAGGGCAGGCAAATCACAGCATCGCGCACTCCAGGAGCTCCGGGCCCGCTCACTTTGCGGGGACTGCTGAGTAGCACAGCGCCCAGCCATGCCGCGGTCGGGCGTCACTCACTTGACGCCGAGGCTGCAGGCGCGCCGGTGGGCCTGCGCGGCCACCTGACGAGCCGGCGAGGACGGCGCGGCGCCCAGCCGCTCGCGCTCCTCCACCGACTCGCGACTGGAGCTCGACTGCGCCGGAGACTGGGTCTGCGGCTCCAGCTGCAGCGACAGTCTGCCCGACACGTGCAGAGACACATCATCATCAGACCTAACAGACTAGGTCTGCCGCTCCAGCTGCAGCGACAGTCTGCCCAATACGTGAACAGACACATCATCCGACCTAACAGACTGGGTCTGCCGCTCCAGCTGCAGCGACAGTCCGCCCGACACGTACGCAGACACATCATCATCAGACCTAACAGACTGGGTCTACCGCTCCAGCTGCAGCGACAGTCTGCCCGATACGTGCACAGACACATCATCATCAGACCTAACAGACTGGGTCTGCCGCTCCAGCTGCAGCGACAGTCTGCCCGACACGTACACAGACACATCATCATCAGACCTAACAGACTGGGCCTGCCGCTCCAGCTGCAGCGACAGTCTGCCCGACACGTGCACAGACACATCATCATCAGACCTCGAATGAGCTGTAGCACACAACGAAAGGGTCGGACTAGGGACGCGGCCAAAGCAACAGTCCGCACAACACCAGGAGCCAGCCAGACGGCAGCCCGAAGCCAACTCGTGGACGGACGCGAAGAACGTAAACCGGGCCAAGGTGTGGACGCAGCTGCAGTGACACCCCCCCCCCCCCTCCCCTAACGTACAGCGCGTCGCGCCAGCGTGGGTCCACAGTTCCATACTCCGGCGGCTCAAGTGTAACAGCACAGGAACGTTCGAAGGCATTCAATGGCGCTGAGAACCTCCTCCGTCATCCGCTCATCCTCGTCCGCCCACGGTCGACGTGCCGGTCCAGCTCCAGCGGTCTGACGAGTCTCAGCTCACGCAAGGCACGCCGCACCCCAGCTCTTACGAGCACCCGCCCCGCACCCCCCCCCCCCCCCTCCCTCCCCGCTCATCCGACAGCAGCCGCACGCGCCAACACCAGGCTCACTTGTAGTTGTCCTCGTCGATGAACTTCTGGAGCTCGTCGATGTAGCGGATGGCGGCCAGGTAGCTGCTGACGCGCGGGTTGAACGGCAGGTGCGAGTAGTCCGACTGCTGGAACTCGGAGATGGTGCGCAGGATGTTGTTCATCAGGTTGCGCCGCTGCGACGACTCGAGGCCGCCCGACTGCGGGTGTGCCATGTCCACGTACACGAGGTCCGTCAGGTACAGACCTGAAACGAACAGCGCGCCCGTCACGTACGGGCCGGTACTGTAGGGTAAGTGACACGCACGCCGCTGGACCAGTTCAGAGGCTGGGCGCTGGAAAATTCATCTGGACAAGAACTAGCTGTACGTGTGGTGGTGCCTGATCCAGCGGAACATTTTCTGACAGCATGGCCTTGCGTCAGTAAGCTGCGCTATTTAATTTCACCGACCTGAGACACCAAGGTAAGCCTAACGAGTGGTGCGCAATATCCAGCATAACACCGAGTGCATAATGTGCCTGAGTAGCCTGCCAAACCGCAACAGAGTGGAAGCGCCCGACAGCTCGCATAACGGACTTCGCCCTGACAGCTCCGGACCGCCGGCTCGTGATCTTCATTTATAGGGGACATCGCTCGAACATCGCATGGAGGATCTCGGACGGGTTTTTATTAATGTCGAGGTCGTAGGTTCTCTGAAAACAAAGCCATGAACTGACTGGGACTTCAGCAAAATTTTCCGCAAAGTTTTCACGAAGCAACGTTTAATTTTCACTTCAGTCATCAAATTCAAGTACGACAAGCGGCGCATTAGCGAAGACTAGCCCGGGGTTTGTCCGGCTTGCGAGCCAACGGCCGGATGTGCGACTCCTCCTCCTTCCTGTCCGCCATGCGTCCTGGTGCGCGACTCCTCGTCACTCTCCTACTCTGCAGCGGGACCAGGCGGAGCACCGCCAAGCGCAAGGCCTTCTACTGTTTTCAGTGCACGGGCGAATCTACTGACCCGGACGACCACTGCACCGACAGCGGCTGGGTGTCCATCCCGCGGGGCAGGCGGCTCGACTACAAGTTCCTCTGCCCCGAACAGCTGAGTTTCTTCTGCATGAAAACCGTCGAGGTGTGGGAGAGCGACCAGCCCGGCGTGCCAAACAAGTACCGCACGCGCCGCGGCTGCAGCGGCAGCACGCGCTTCAGGTACCGTGAGCCCACAGCACACACGCACGCACATGCACACGTATACACGCCCAGTGCCTTGCCCTATATCACGCCGCGATAAAAGCACGTTGACCATTGGAATTCGCATGGCCTTCGTTCGACGTAGAAGCATGGGCGCTTATATTTGACCAAGACCGTTCCCAGGCTAATGGTAGCACTGGAGACCGCATTCCCAATGCAATTGGCCACCCTGTCTGCCAAGGCAAATTGTGTGCAGTCTGTGACGTCATCAACAGCTCCAACTGACACCCTGTATTGCCTTGTTAGATAGCATTCCTTATTTACGACGATATTACTGAAAGCTTTGCAAGAAAGGGTCACCGCTGATGTAAGCCGGCACCGCGCAACACAACTGGGTCCCAGTCCCTCCTCAATCCTTCAACACATGTCAGAGCCACTATATCGATATGTATTGCCAAAACATCGTAACTACACCAAATATCGACCCGGAGGCAAATTCCTATGGAGCGATGTCACGTACCGCTGTACTCTCCGCAGTTTTGTGCCGGCTACTCGCTCTGTTGTTAGTTGACTCTCGCGCTAACGGGGGGGGGGGGGGGGGGTCCAGAGCTATCCTCCTGATGTTGTTATTAGCTTCTTAGGTCTAATTAATTCATGTCAGGTTAATAGTCTAGATTGGTTTCAGACCTCCACATTGCAGTCTGGCGTTATCATGGGTTGCTGACCTAAGCTAATCTTTACCTGCCGGCTTTTCAGAAGCATGCTCCTAATTGCATAATGCACATATTTTTCTGATTTTTAGTACTATCAGCTTCGTTCTTCTAACCACGACTAACATTTATCCCGAAAGGTTGTTATAGGTCACTGGTCTCAGTTGACCTCTACCCCACAGGTGTTGGAGTACAAGTCTTGTACGCCGTCATTCGCCTTTAGCCTTGCTAGTGTTGCCCCCTCATCATCACGTGACCTTTGCTGAGAAAGGTCAACATACAAGACATGCCTACACTGACCCTAAAATGGGAGCTGTCTTGACATTTGATTGGCATACGAGACAAAACCAGCAGCATATGCTTATATGATGAACATAACATTTTGGCCTACCAAGGCGTTACTGAGAGCTCCCAAGAGACTCCCCAAACAGACGATTTCCGGGCTAGCTGCATTCAAATTAGAAGAACAATGTTTGATGACCAAATACTATCTTGGCTTTGGCCTTGGCTTAGAAATGGCCTGCATCAAAGTTGATCAGGATTGCAAAGCATGCTTAATGTTTTACTCGCCGCTTGAAATCTCCTCTGCAACCAGATAACCATGAACGCCGTAAACCATGCTTCACAAGTTTCAAAACACGTTGGTTTATGACGGCGTGCCGCCCCTCTTTACAACACGTCCACATCCCCCTACCGGCTGTTAAAGTTTCCGAATTTCGACGTATTTTTATCTCATACCGCCCAGCGCGTCGCTTTAGGATGCTCTGCTCTAAAAACCCGGTCAATGGAGCGCTCGTCATCTTCCCCAACAGCTTGCAGACTGATGAGTGATGAGTGATGAGTGATGGGGTGAGCGCAGCGGGCCGATGACGCGGCGGATGCGTCCCAGTCGCGGCGGCGTGCAGCGGCGCCGGCCGGCTCCGTCACAGCCAGCCGGCTGTTTGCGCCGGACATAAACAGGAGCCGGGGTGCGCAGGCGCCGGTGACGCCCCGTGCCGGGCACCGCGGCCAGAGCGCCGTGACGTCACGGCCAGCCGCGGGCACGGCGGGGGAGTCCGCGCCGAGATACGGCCAGCACATGCGCCGACGGGTGCCGAGTTGCTGATTAGTCTGAAGGAGCCGCCAGGCGCCGACACTTATCTGGGCGCGGGGCAAAAGCCCACCAGTTCTGAAGCTGGCGCCTGCTCTGAGGGCAGCTCCTCTTCAGAGCAGCGACAAACAGACAAGCAGAGCACCCCTTCCCCGCGCTCGCATGGGAATACGTCCAGACGGTTCTATCGTACACAGAACAAGCCACTGATCACTTACATCGCTGACTCGTAGGGCCCTCGACTCGCCATTCCCCACTAATCGGGCTTGAAATCTTGGGAACTTTGTTCAGGACTGGACGGCCTGGAGTTGTGTTTTGAAAATGTCGCACCAGTGATTACCATTACCCGCCGCTAGGTACACAAGTCTTTCATGTACATTTCATGAAGATTCAGATCATCAGGTTTGCTGAACAAATGGACAGCGCATGGATGACAAATGCTGGAGTATAGACGCGTGTCCCATGCCAATCAGCTGGTACTGCGGCATTTTCTGTGGCTGGTTCATGTTACAAAGAGGTCAATCCAAGACTTGGGGGTTGTTCTCACCACTCCCCCTAGCTTAGTAGACGAAACTTAACTCGACGTGTGCGTATGCACTTGTAACAGTGGTAATATTTGCGTCAATGATCTGGTCTGGTGTCCTCGAACATATATTTCCTTCATCAATTTGGGGTTCTCAAACACTACGATTCTGACTTCAACTATGGTCGAGATAGTTGTGAGCTCTATGTCGTGCTCATTTATGTTCTTCGAATTTGTGTTGATGGCTGTAAAAGTGCTTTTCACATATGCTACAAATAATCCTGAATGCATGGCTCCACATAAGTCTAGGAACTCAACCTACGTGAAAACCGCTGTTTTTCTGAAGCCTGTGTATGGGTTGATAAACATTCATATATGTGTATATTACGGCCCATGTGGAATGAAATTTAGTTCAGGAAAGGGCTGTACATGTACAGAGTATGCGGGGCGTGGATTGGTGCCGATGGGAATACGCCGGTTCAATAGTATCATGTGTGTGCCTAGTTTATGCTCAGATTACATGTGTCAAGATTTTGTATTTCTTTTCAGAACACGCAAGCTTGTAAACCAAACTTCATTTTTAAAGCGTGTATATGTGCTTGTAATTCCGGAAATGTGAAAAAACTCAGTTGTGTCCCCAATTTTGCGTTTTGTTGTCATCGACCTTTGGCTCTAAAAACTGGCTTCTGATTCTGCGCCGCCTGGGCGGATCTCCCCCGGCTGCCGCCTGGTAACCGGTGTGTCTCCTCAGCCAGCAGGAGGGCACCGAGGAGGACGCAGGGGCCACCCGGTTCACCGTGACCAACGGCTGCACAGACTTCGTCGAGAATCCCTCCACTGGAGGGTAAGAGCGCCCCCAAACTCGCTTCCCGGCGGGCCCGGCCACGCCGTGTTCCGTCCTCGATGTCTGGCCGTTCAGTGGTGGATGCTCGCTCGATGCCAGCCGAGCCGTTCCTGTAGGCCCGGCAGCGGTGCTTCGGACACCGCGCGAGACGCGTCAGCCAGCCCGCTGAGCGCTGCGCCGCCCTCCTGCTTCCGCGTCCGGCGCCGCTCCACATCGCCCTCGCCCTCCCCTCTGACTCTCCGCCCCTCTGCCGGCAGGCTGGTGCAGATGTGCTTCTGCGATCAGAGCATGTGTAACGGAGCGGGCCGACCAGGCGCCGGCGGCGTCTGCTGCCTGCTGGCGCTGCCAGCGCTGCTGGCACTGATGAGCGCGGGGCGCTGAGCGGACCCAGGCCCGCCGGCGGTGGCCCTGCAGTCGCCCTGACGCCGGGCGCGCGGGCCCCGACCGCCGAGCGCGCCCACAGCCGGCGCGAACGTCACGGGCGCGTGCCGAGCACCAGCCGGCACCAGCGTCACACGCGTCACATAGCCAGACGGCGCGCAGTTTTCCGGAGACGGCCCGTCCGGCCGCCACCAGCACGGCACATGCTCGCCGACGGTGACGCGGCCGGCAGCCCTGTTTATCATGCTCGAGCCGCGCTAAAAACATCTGTGCAAGAGTAATGACATCTGCGCAACGTACGGCAGTGTTATAAACACAGGGAATACCACCCCGGATGTCGGGAAGAAGCCATTCGTCGCCGCCCACTTGAGCGCCAGCCGCTGGGTCCAGCCCCAAGGTCGCCGGTCCACTGTGTTCTTCATGCTGCTTGGGACGAGCGGCACATCTACAAATGGCTTACCTAAGTAGGGTATGCATGGCAGCTTCGTCCGCGATAGATTATCGCGAAGCTTTTCCCAGTTGTTCACGTCCAAAAACAACTCGCGTTGTTTGTCAAACTTCTGCACCAAATTCTTCGGTAGATGTGCCCACATCTTTTGCAACCTGTAAATCGAGACGAGTAAATATATAAATAGCGAAGTATGGTATCTTACATCAAAGATAGAGCATCTCAGGGAAACCAAGGCCCACCCACACGGCAACAGGCAACAGTTCAACGCTGTTCCGAAGCAGACTATGATATCCATTTCCACGAAACTTCGTGCCGGCGAATAACGCAGGCTATTCAGTTTCATCAAGCTTGAGGACAAGCGTCGAAGAAGCCAGGCAGGGAGCATGTAAAGGAAAGCCAACGCCTGGGATCATATTTCATTCACACGATGGCATAAGCGTATTGCCAGCTAAGGAGCGCAGCACATCTAGTCCACCACGCTAAACACAGTGACGTCAATACGAAATTGTCCTAAGAACTACACATGTCGGTCATTTAACGCTCCGGCGACATCATTGCACGCGTTTGGTTTTATGTCCGTGCTCAGGCTGTCGAGCACAACACAGCGCAGTCAGCCGCGCTGCAGAGGGACGCTATTGTTCATCCCAGAGACGCTGACAATATGGACCTCACAGCGCGGGGTCGAACCCGGACCTTTGACTGGCGCGTCCACGCCCTACCGCCCAGCTAATGAAGACCCGACCTGGCAGCGTACCGCTGACGGAATGGCTGATGGAAGCGAACTATTGCCGACTTGCAGCGCGGCCGCGCAAACCGGCTATCCACAGGCGGAGCGCCGAGATCAAACAACGCACGCCTTGGGCTGCTGGCTAGGAATCTTAACATTCGCCGTTACAGACACACGCGCTCCACCTTTCAACAAACCGTTCCGACTCTAGTACTCTCACCGTGACCAGCCCGGGGCCTCGTGCCGGTGCGGAAACCGACCGCGACCTGACCCACCTGTATATGGGCGCCGTCTGCAGGGCCGAGATGATGGCGAACTGGGCGTGCAGGTTGTTCAGCTCCTGCAGCCGCTTGGCCACGCGGATGAAGAGGCCCAGCACCTCGGCGCGCTGCTTCACGCTCCGCACGTTCAGGATCTCCTTCACCGTCCAGAAGCTCACCTGGCGGCGGCGATCGAGCCTTACGCGTGCGGTATTCGCAAGCCGATCAAGTCATCGCCTGGCTCCCAAGCCGAGCTGGCGTCCTGCAGCCTACACAGCAGCAGAGCCGACCGCCGCCCCATTACCGCCGCCCGCTAAACGGCGGTTAGGACAACCGCTGTCACCGCGCCACAGCCGGTCATCCGGCTATCGCGGTCGGAGGAGGCCACTGACGGCCGGAGCCCGTCCCCGGTCTCACCACGCTGACCAGGCAAAACAGCCACTCCCTGGGGTTTGGGGCCACCCTTCCCGCCCCACTGAGCCGGCCAGGACTTTAACGGTCAAAGCCAGGTCCACTGCCAGCCACCTGCCGCCTGGCACTGGCCGAGAACCCGAACCAGGTTCGCCACTGTCCACCCGCAGCGCACTCACAGTGCTCGCACGTGATCCGCCGCTGGCCGAGTCTGGCAACGCCGACCTCAGCCAGTCCCAGCCCGACGCCAGCCAGTCCCAGCCAGTCCCAGCCCGACGCCAGCCAGTTCCAACCCGACGCCAGCCAGTCCCAGCCCGACGCCAGCCAGTCCCAGCCCGACGCTAGCCAGTCCCAACCCGATGCCAGCCAGTCCCAGCCAGTCCCAGCCCGACGCCAGCCAGTTCCAACCCGACGCCAGCCAGTCCCAGCCCGACGCCAGCCCAGTCCAGCCAGTCCCAGCCCGACGCAGTCAGTCCCAGCCCGACCTCAGCCAGGCCCAGCCCGATGCCAGCCGTCCCAGCCCGACGCCAGCCAGTCCCGGCCCGACGCCAGCCGCTCCCAGCCCGCTCCCAGCCATCGCCCACCTGGTGAAGCGGCGCGTGAAGGCGACCACGTTGGGCGAGAGCCGATGCTTGTCGCGCCGGTTCCAGCCGAGGCAGGCGAGCTCTTCGGGCCCCGATGCGCCGGAACACCTCCCAGTCGGCGCCGCGTGATCTGCGAGGCGAACTCCTCCGGTGGGATGGTGAGCACCTCCAGGAAGGTGGGCCGACCGCCACCGCCCGCTCGCGGTAAACTGCCGACCGAGGGCCGCCGTCAGTCGCACGGCCAACGCGGCGTCGAACGCACGCGGCACGCGCTGGAGCAGCGTTACACCGGCCACCTGAGGAACACCGTCGCACGCATACACACCGGTTTTCTGGGGCTCCAGATAATGGGAGACATTACACGCATGGCCATACGTCCGAGCACACCATGTTCCACACACTTGTAACGCCCGCTTACTCCCACGAAAATCGGGTAAAATTACGATCCTCCGTTGTGAGCCGGATGCCAAGTTCGTGATGCCGACACGACTCGACGGACAACACTGCGACATGCCCGAGAAGACTGCAACCTGCGTGTATGTCATAAAGAGGCCATCAAAGAAAACCTTGCCGTATTTCCAGGTCTATATCGAAAGGCCGATGGCAAGAAACTAAAATACACTGACCGTGGTCCAACACCACCACCTTCTGTGTTTGTTTGTGTGACGTGAACATGCGCCACACAGCGGCAATTTAGCGAGACCACATATCGCGACATTCAAGAAATGACTCGGCCGGCACCGTCACCCCATTGTCCTCGATTCATAGCCTCGCCGGCTATTGGTTAGCCTGGTCCTCTCTCCGGACATTGTCGATAAAAGCGACACACAGACGGCGGCGGCGTAGTTAATTTCACCGCCGAGAGAGACCGCGGTCATACGGAACGACCGCCAACACTCCGGTCGTGCCTGCCTCGAGGGCAAGGCAGGCGGCGGACAGCAGTCGGTGTGCCCCGGACACCTCGAGACGGGGAACGACCCGTGCACCGGCCAGGCTCAAAACGACACTACCGTCCGACGGCAACTGATTTCACGATGCAACTGTCCGTTTGCCGTTCCCTGTTGCCGTACGGTCCGTCTTTGGTCAATGCCATTAACTACATGCAGAGCGTCTGATGAAAATTACAGCATATGAGATACGTGTGCATTCACGAATCCGGCTCGAGTGGTCCGCCAGATAGCAAACACAATGAAACAGGGCTCACGGCCACTAACATCGACTAATCCACTGTTTTTATCCCGACCTGACCAACAATGAGGCCATAAAGTTTCACCACCCACTCAACCGTGCACAAGGGCGCCAGTGCTGGCCTTGTTCCACCACGCGGCCGGGTGCGGCTGCTTGACCCCCCAGTCACAGAGCTGACCTGGTGCTGAAGCAGGTGGTGACCTTCTCCTCAGAGGACTGGCGGCAGCTGGCGCGACGCGAGTTGTTCCTCGACAGGCCATATCGACCACCTGAAAAACGCGACCGATGTCATCACAGCGCATCCATTGCCGTGCTACAAAGCAGGCAATGTGTGACACTTCCAACCAGGGTTTGTGTGCGCCCCCATGTGTGAGTGTGTGCGGAGTGAGCGACAACTGCTGACGAGGTGACACCCGCCGCAAACCAGCGTCTCTGTCTGTCATGACTCAAGGCATCTCGTTGACGCCACGGCGTGTGGCCCTGTGCCGAATATGCACCCGCAGCGGTTCGGCGCGCGCAGCAGCCTCACGCGTGCACCGGTCGCCGTGTGTGCACCAATATGACGTGCATGAGTGTCAGCGCGTACTTTGTCAACATGACAGCAATGTCTGCGATAATACGTCAGCGCGGCCCTCACCGGCCTGGCCGACCGAGGCACAACGGCGGCGAGCCGCTCTCGGAGCAGCGGCTTTGCGGACGGCTTTATCGCTGGTTATGATACCGATTAGGGTCGCGACAGGGTCTGACCGACACCACCACCCGCACCTTTACCCGGGGAGGGGAGCGACTGCCCGGGACGCCAGGGTCTGACCGACACCCCCACCCGCACCTTTACCCGGGGAAAGATACGGCTGCCTGGCAGAAAAGCGTCGGAAAATGGACAAGGGCACGGTTACCGCTGAGGGTCTCAAATCAAAACTCTGGGGTATTAGAGCATGAAGCAACCACCTTGCATTAGTAGGTACATTACAGCAACACATCGGCATGGGCAACAAGCGCTGGAGTGAGGGCTTTATATACAATATGTACCGCGGTAAAATGCGGAGGGTGTTGTGTGAAACCTAGGAGCTTCAGACTAATTAAGGATGTGTGCTTATTTGAAAGATGCTGATGGCTTTCCTAAATTGTCATGGAAATTGGGACCTATTTCAAATTAACCTAATACAGCCATCGCAACAGCGCGTCAAACTTAAATCGGCATGAAAAGAATATACAGATAACGGTTCAAAGACTTATTGTTAAGGTAGCAATCTTCACTCCAAGGTGATCAATGTAAAAACACCTAAAAAGCAGCTCTGTTTTCCACAGGAAGAGCTAAACGACTGAATTGTAGGCACAAGTGGACAGAAGACATTTCTTGGAGGAAGGAACACTACGATCCCATGCTAATTTTGTCCGGGAGGAACTTCGGGTGGCGAATGAGCAAATTTAAGTGAAGTACACAAGTATACAATCACGTTCGAGCAAAATTCAAGGTCATCACCGGCCATCATCACTGTCAGCGCTAGAGGTGCTCGTATGGAGCGACCCCCTCTGCCTGACATCAAACCTTACGTGAATTCACGGTCACCAGATCGACAATCATCGTGCACGGCTCCGGTCACTGCCTGTCCGCCGGAGGTGCCCACAGGGGCTTTGGTCACTGCCTGTCCGCCGGAGGTGCCCACAGAGGCTCCAGTCACTGCCTGTCCGCCGGATGTGCCCACAGAGGCTCCGGTCTTTGCCTGTTTGCCGGATGTGCCCACAGAGGCTCCGGTCTTCGCCTGTTTGCCGGATGTGCCCACAGAGGCTCCAGTCACTGCCTGTCCGCCGGAGGTGCCCACGATACGGAGCGCCCGGGCGAGCTCGGACGCGACGTCCGTCCGGGGGCACGGCAGCAGCCACACTGAGCTGGCCGGCACGGTGGAGCGCCGGGAGAGCCCGGTTGGCACGGCGGCAGCCACACTGAGCTGGCCGGCACGGTGGAGCGTCGAGGCGGTACGGGCGGCACGGCAGCAGCTACACTCGACTGGAGCGCCGCACACAGCTAATTCTGCTTCAAAACTGGCAGAAGCCTCAATCGATTCCTGACATGCGCGAAACTGTCTATTTTTGTTGGTCTCCAGTGCCGCATTGATCAGGCCATATGAAAGCACCTTCAGAAGTCACTCGAGCCCTTGGTGTCGGTTTTGCAAGCGTAAGAAGCTGGACATTTTTGTTGTCACTTGATGCTTCTACTTTACCATAAATTGATAGGATGTTTGTCACGCATTCATGAATGACAAATATTCCGAAAACAAACTTCAGAAATAAAAACGTGTCTTGAAAAGGACTGTCAAGCCGTGCTTTATCATCTGCTGGCATTGCATTTGACACGAACGGCCTTTAAAGCCATAATAATACATGATTTTGAGACATATGTGTGGTACTTAAAACAGTAAAAGAGCAGAACAGTTGTGGAGAGCGACGGAACAGGCTACGCCTGTGTCCACTTTTGACTATAGTCAGGGCGCTTCCCAGTGTGTTGGGAACAATTTGGACAAAGGTTATGACGGCAGAACAGATCGAAAAAAATACGAAGGCTTTAATAAGCCGGCCGCCGGAAGCCGCGTCCCACCGGCTAGCTGGTCGGGCACCGGGTGGTGCGGCGGCCGTCCGTCCGCGCGATCTCGTAATCACCAACAGACAGCAGGAGCAGTGCAATGGTGCGGCGGCCGGCCGTCCACGCGATCCCGTAAGGTTATCGTCCACAGACCCCAGCAGCAGTGCGATGGTGCGGCGGCCGGCCGTCCACGCAATCCCGTAATCACCAACAGACACCAGGAGCAGCGCGTCGCACTGCGTGCGGGGCAACAGGGAAGCCAACGAATGGCCTAAACGTGTTATCAGCTCGCATTGCACGCACGGAGAATTGCCAATTTGGTCTTTCGATGACGCCACGCTTGGATCGCTGTTCTCGAGGGCCCATTCGCATATCGTGCGGGCTGCCCGTGAAGACCTGAGAGGTGGCTTCAAAACACAAAGCGGTCGTAAATGAGCGAAAGAAAATGATACAACGGTCACAACGGACAGTGGATGAGCTTGGTGGCCGAGATCACGGGGAAGGACCTATCTGGCGAAGTGACACGCGAGGCTTCGAGGCTTCTTCAAAGAAAAGTTGTTATATTGCCTGCCATGTCTTCATTCTTGCTTTCTGAAAACCTGAGCGCGCACAATACGCCATGGAAACGGCTCGGTTGTTAGTGTCACTGTGTCAGCGGTACTCTATGCCCCCGCCCGTGCATGAAGTGATGGTTAATGGAGCGGACGTGATCGAGTCACTGTCACCGTCCATCGACATCTGGAGCCAGGAAGTGCGTGAAGCCAGAAACAAACGCAGCCGGTTGTGGACCAGTTACGCCATCTGCTGGTGGCCTGTCATTCCCTCATCGCTATAGTGATCGAACTCGACATCGACAAACCCAGACGCCGACGACGGCCGACGCAGGCCAGTCCGAGCACAGTGAGCAAAAGCGTAATTCTCAAGGACGTCCTGAGGTGAAAAGGCGATACGGATGAAGGCGAGGGGAAATGTGTCACGGTCCAGATATATCTCTTACAACTGGATGTGAAAAGCTGACGCACATTTTTGCTTGTTTTGCTTGGCTTTTGCGTATTTTGTGCTTAAAGTCCAACTCATTATTGCGACTCAAATTAAAGACATCGCGTTACTTCAAGCTGGCGTGTGGCCAGCTATGTTACGAACAAGTTAAAGTGTCGCGTAAATGAGACCAAGGCAAATGTACCAGACGACACTACGTCATAGCATTGAGCTTGCGCTCAGCTTTACACAGCAAGACGTGCGCTTTCATGCATGTGATGCGTAGTTTGTATGACTTCTCTTCCACGTATCCTGGCCTGTGCTTGTTTATGTAACACGCTGGCTTCCAGGATGTTAAGGAGCATGTCTCAATGACACAACGAAGCGCCACACACACACCCGGAATAACGTGAGCCGATCTTACTTCCTTGTGCCAATTATCGCTCTTAATCAACACTTCAATAAGCATCTGTAAGATCTACATATGCTGACTCCTTCCGACTCTCAAAGGGAGTATCCCACCTTTTTGTACTTTTTATTCATTGAGAGATCAGACGCGTGCGATTCTATCAGTAATACCGGTTTTCTCGAAATCCTGAACAGCTCAAAATTCCGATTTGAGGCAGCTGCTCCCGCGGGAAAAATCTCACCTGACTCTCTGCTCACCTCTACGAAAATAATACATTTCATTTGTTTTCCTTTTCCAACATCAGTGTCCTGTATCATTTGCAGCACACTAATTTGTCACAAGATTTGTGTGCTAAACGCGAATAGATGTAAAAGTTCGCGTAAAATGCTAATGCCAAGAAAGCTTAAAGCACTGCTGAGACAAAAAGGAATACGAACATGAAGCCATTATCCCGCGAATTCAATGAAACGTTATATCATGGCTTTGATTTCTCCCTCACGGCGTTTATCACGATGGGTGGTCCTTTTCGAGGAGCACGTAGACATTGGTATTGGGAGCATCACGTGGTCACAGACGCACTGGTTCAAATTTTAACAAGTGCACTTCCCGGTAGCAGGCCCTTGCCGCCCGCTAGGCCAATTACAAACGTTCTTTTATTCGCACCAATAGAGGTGCTCAGGACAGTTGTCATGACGACGGTGGTCGCGACTACAAGGAAGAAATGTAGTGCTGTTACAATGCGTCGACAGCGTTATTTGAGTCCGAAAATTGTTCAACTGCTATCTTTATTATCTTGACAATGCTGCAGTGGCCTTACCCAGTGTTATGATTAGACGTGACATGTCCTGAGCTTTCACTACATTGTGTTTTTGTCACATGCCCCAAAGGTGGGATATTCCCCTTAACTTAGCGATGACATCCACGGTAACACATTTCGCGACATGTGACAAAGGGGTGTATGATACTAACTTTGCCAGAGAAAAAGAGAAATACAATCCTGGCTTTCATATAACCCATATATAATGTTTCCATGTTGGTTGATAAATGAGCTAGATTTTCGATTGCCGATTGCTCTCTTCCAACGATTGTCCAATACTCCCCTTCGAAAGTATTCGTTGCCTCATGTCGCCCGCCGCAGTCACGGGTCACCGAGCTCTGGGCCCGCGTTTGATCTGCGCTGCTCAGCGTCTTCCAATTTTAGAAGTTTTTCCTCACCCATGGTCACCAAACCGGGAGGCGACAACGTGGCAATGATACAATATTCGGGGAAAATAACCATCTCATCAACCACGCCGAATTAAAATCCTCACGATTTGCACAGCAAAACTTTCAGAAAAATACGCTTCTTGTCGCCAAACTTGCGTGGGCCTACAATCAGTGGATGCAGAGAGCGTTGACTTCTAGAAGGCATCGCGGCCGCGCGGGTCGCAATCATCGCCATCACCATGGCCGACTGGTCCCGCTCTGCGGCTCGCTGCTCAGTTGGCGGCTGGCCGGCCAATCGACAACCAAAGGCGATAATTACAGGCTAGCCCTGCAAATCGCCAACGTCGTACCAGCTCATCGTCGCTGCACCTCCGGGGCAGCTCCAGGTGACCCTCCGGCTGCCGGCTGATCTCGTAATGGGAAAACCTTCGGGTGCGTGATGACCCCGAGACGGCTGTCTCTGCGCCCCGGCGCTTTGCGGGGGATCTCCGGGTGCCCACTGCCCTCAGGCCTCATGGCGCTCAAGAGTCATGCGTGGGCAGCTCCTGTCCCCCACCATCCCGACATCTCCGAGCGCCGCTGACCTCCCACGTGCGGGGAATCCAGATACCAACTGACCTTTGACCCCAGCTGACCCTGTTGCGCAACTCACTGACCCCCAGCTGACCCGCTGTGCAGTTTCTTGACTCCCAGCTGACTCTGCTGCGCAGCTCCCGGACCCCCAGCTGACCACGCTGCAACTCCCTGACTCCTAGCTGACCCCTCCGCGCAGCTCCCTGGCCCCAAACTGACGTGTGACAGTGGTGCCGGGGCGCCAGCTGACCTTGTGCGGCTGCAGCGCGGTCGGCGGGCGGGCTGAGCCGCGCCTCAGCTGCCTGGCGGGCCGACAGGTGGCGCGGCGTCGGCAGCGTCTGCGAGAGCGTCGTGCCCGCCAGCAGCGCGTCCTCCTCCCTCTGCGCGCCGGTCCGGCGGCGGTTACCGGCACGGTCACCAAAGCAAACACCACGCAAACGCTAACATACGGCGCACGGCACGGTGCACTTGCCGCGGAAATTGCGCCAAAAACAAGGTTACGAAGCACAGGAAGACAGAAAGCCAACTCAGCGAACACGAAAAAGGAACGCGAAGGAGATCTCACAAATCACAGTCAAAACCAGCGCCAGAGCGGTTGCGCAGCGACTGCCGGACATTACCTCGCATAGCTTGAGCGTGGCTAGACTGTCGCAGGACGGCTCGCGGGCGAAATCCGAGTGCCACATGCCGCCCGGTCAGCGGCACCGCATGGTGATCGGGCCGGGGACGATGGTCGGCGCGCAGCCAGCGGAGCGGCCTGCAACAGCCACACGCGCCCGTGTCAGCGACGCACGCGGCGCCGGGCCGCGCCAGGCGGTCTCATCTCACGCCGTCGGCGCGCCTGCCCGCTCAGCTGCCACCGGCGCGCCGCGGCCCGCCACGCGCGCAGCCGCGTACCACACATCAACGACACAGACGGTTAACTGGAGTTGTGTGTGAGGCGAGGGAGAGTGCAGCTGAGAGCGTGCCCGCCCAGCAGTCGCGCGTCGAGACGCCGGCTGAATCTGGTGCCGATCGTGATCACGATCCACCCCACGCCCCCAGCTGCGATGGACGTGTGTGATGGAGACGCTAGATGGCCTCAAATGTTGAATGCGTCGATAAGACCCGAGCCAACATGCATTTTGACCCCGTAATGACCCTGTTGAGCTCCCAGGCACAATAGTGCGGCAGCCGTGCAAGGTTCTTCCATCTTCTCTTTCAATGCAGTGATCACCTCATTGGTGTCTGGTTCGTCCATGCAACACTTGGCCAACACACAACATTACAGACAGTATTCGTGTAGTGCGAGATGCTGTTCAGATGAGTGAGCTTGGGCTCACTTTTGTCAGAAATATAAAATGACTGAAGTAATGCTCACAAAAATGCTCGCCACAGCAGGAAATCCGGCCTTGGGTGTCGACAAAGAAAGGGCCATGAGCGCAGACAAAGAAAAAGGGCCATGAGCGTCGACAAAGAAAGGGCAAGGCTTCGCGTTCCCCACCCTTGCTTGACAAGAGAGGTGGTTGCCCTATATTCAGAGTGGTCTACCAACCAAACGTCACACTTTCTATTAGCCAGAGGTACATGATAGGCCAGGCGACTGATCATGTTCTGTTGAAAGGTATGGTAGAAAGGTGTGGGGGGGGGGGGGGGCTCCAGAACCCACTCATGCTCCCCATCACGCAGCTGAGCCCATCCAATTTACATTCTGTGCTCATATAGTTGTCAGAATGCAGCATGCCCGACATATGTCTGTCCCATTAACAAACTGCTTGCTTACTGGGAACATGCCATGAGCCAGTCATTTATAACAGTCACAGAGATGAAACAGCATAAAGTCATTTTTCCAGGATATCATACAAAATACTCTGAAATTAATGCATGGCAGTAGTGAACACTGTGCCAAGTCTACATTACACCAGAAGGGCATCCAGGTCACACTACACATATACTACCTTCATTTATTAAATTTCAATCATATCAAAGCTGGTCAAAATAACGAGCATTATCTTGTATCCAGTAAGTCACCAGCTATAAGTATTCATGCTGAAAGCAAATATTATTGAAAAAATCAACAGATTTGCTATGCAATTAGCACAGAAGTTTTAGCACTTTTAGGGTAGACAGAAAAGGTAACCAAGCTGACAAGGGTGTTTTTCATTGTGAAGAAATCTTGGTACATTCCACAACAAATCGACAGGGCCACAACACCCAATGCTTCGCATTTTCATGAGCATCTTGTCAGGGTGCTGTCTTATGCCTAAATTCAAATGTGTAATTTTAAGAAAAGTCCGAGCAATGGTCGAAGACCTATAGCCTCGGGCATTGTTAAGAGGTAAGCTAACAAAGACATCGTTGAGAGCCTATAACGCGATTAACAATTAGTTAGATTCCTGAATACGATTTACCGCTCACCTTGCGATAACGCAGTGCATCTATTGTGTATTTCCCAATTTTTCTTGACTTCATTTTCAAAACCGTGATAGCGTGACCAAAAGTCACGCGAATTATTTTGAACTTTCGGACGTTCGCAACGCTATTTTGTTGAATGCAAATCTCACACAAAATTATTTTTCACAATAAAAAGGTAAAAAGGCATGTTTCTTCAAAAACGCTGCACGGTCGTTCCAAACCCGGCACGCACGACTGTCTTCGCGATAGTTTCAAGCATACTTGGTTGTGATATGTGTAACGGATGTAACATCGTTGAAAAGTCAACAAAGTCAGTGTCGTCAAGCATGTCAGTGGGTGTAAGGATGTATCATTCAACCGCATTTTTGTCACAAAAGTGTACAATAGTGTCGGGATGAAGGGAGGGGGAGGGGGAGGGGTGGCTGCCGGCAAAATTGAGCATAAATTTGATCGCGGTAAGACAAAAGTACGCAAGTAAAAGCCTGGCCAGGCAAAAACAGAGGAACAATCACGTCTATCATCTCCACAGAGGCCGTGTGACGATGGCAGCGTCACAGGGTTGGGGAGGAGGGGGGCAAGCAAGGCAGTCTGGCGACGCTGCTGCGGAGGACAGAAAAGGTGTTGCAAGGTTGTATCTTTGATGATTTGAAAGGAAACTATATGTCAGCATTTTCCCAACCACAAATGGATGGTCAATGAACTAATAAACTGTTTTTAAGCCAACTTCTCATGCCGCGCAAACAAAAATTTACGACGGCAAAAGGTTGCTATCTTATCTGGCGGGACGCAAACAAAGAGTGGTCGCGTGTACATGGTCATTTGGTCTCTCGCCAGAAGTCCCTAAAGCGAGGATGGGCATTCCTGACAGTCACAAGAAGGTGAAGTTGTTTTACTAGTCGGACCGGGACAGCCAGATGTGTCCGGGCAAGGGCGACTGTGTCACGGTCCCACAGCTCGATGCAACCACGAGTAGAGTGCAGAAAGACTTGTTCTAGGAATCTTGCATAAAGCATACGACGTTAACAAGCGGGAATAAAAAGCCCTGCCAGTCTCTCGACATTTGCTGCACTTTGTCCGAAGCACTACATCTCGGCAGCCAGCAGTGGTACGCATTCGGTATGCGTGCACATATATCATCAAAATCCCAAATTGCTCACATCCACTCCTTGCCATCCTGATATGAATACTGGAGGATTGTGATGGCTGTTACGGTGAGGGGGAGTAATGGACTTTGTAAGTCATATCTCCTTGGACAAGTCGGAGGGTAGTGACAAGGGTGGTACAACCTTTGATGATGATGGGATGGTGAGATTCAGTACCAACAATGGGTGAGCATAGATCGCTGTGCACTGGTGGAAATCATGGGGACAAAGGAAGACTGCATGAGATCTCTTAGCCAGCGAATCACAAAACTGACCAGACGCCACTTCAAAGCTGATAAGAAGGGGCAGTACTTTGCCCACTCCAAAAAGCTACTGCCAATGAAGACAAAGTGGTGGTTCAAGGCAACTTCTCAGAGAATTATTTATTTGTGGTAAAAAAAAACTCTGCCATTGGCTTCTACTGGGGCTACTCATAATGCACTCTGCACCCATTTGTAGCATACTGACGAAGGTGGACTGTCAGCTGTCGGTCAAGGTGGAGAAACAAAACATGGTGCTGCACATGGTCTTCAAGCCGAGGGAGGACATTACTGGATGCAGATTATGATAAGGAAGGGGCTTGGCCAGACAAGTAACAGTTTAGTGGCTGATGAGAAATCTGTGCTGCACTTCGACAAACTCTGCTGTATTAGAATTAGTTCTGCCCACAATGATCATGTCACAATAAGACAGATCAAACATTCTGAAACTAAGCTGCCAGCAGAACTCTTCAGTAGAATTGATGGTCTGTGGCTCACTTTAACAAAACAACATGAGGGGCCACATGCTGGATCAGCATGACTGACAGCATCATAGATTGAGGTACAAGAATGCATTTGAATCAAGAGTAATGCACATATATAATTTGAGTACAATATTGAGGCTGGTTACACTGTGTGTGTAAATAAAATTGTCGCAATGAGACTAGGACATGTACTTTTTAGTCCTTTAAGTAGAGGCTTTGCATGTTACCAGAAACAAATGAAAACAGGTTCAAAACTTCTAAAAGCTACCAGTCTGGATACCAGATTCATGTGCCCATTGAAGCAGAGGCAGAAATGGAAAGTGGACATCACTGGTAGTGCACATGGAACTGATAGCATGTAATAACCCCGTGTTGAATGCCATCTTCTTTTTTCTTCAATTGCAAACTTCAGCCTACCAGTCATTATGTGGTGCATGCTATCTAAACATATAGCAGAAATTTGTGGATGTGGTGTAAGTGACCCTATTTCCAGCTGTCATTAGGAATAGCAGCAATGGAACTTAATACAGATCATTGTGCCTACCCTGCAATGGAAGGCATCACCTTCAACTGTCATGGTGCCATGCAGTGCTGCAGCTTACGTTCATTTACCGCAATCTGGTGAATCAGATAGTTCATCATGGCCATCCAATAATCATGTTGCACAAGGAAATGAGGGGGTGGCCAGTGGAGCACTTGGGGAGGGTGGCAATGGAGAGAGGGAAACAATTTTCAGTCCGAGTAATACTACACTCAGGTGTGGTTACAAGTCATACTGATGTGCTTCAAAAACACCTTAAAATGTACTCCAGAGTCCAGCCACTGTTGGCTTCCTCTGATGACAAGGAATGGCCCTTTGAATTGTTACACATCCCTTGCTACATCAGGGACCAAATGGATAATCAGAGGGAGAAAAGGTTGAACAATGGCCTAAACTGTACCAAGGAATTAATTGATAGTTTCTCAAATAATCAGTGGTGTTGCATCACGCAATGCAGCTCAGGTGTGTCTTCATCACTGATTTGGCGTGAAACAATGCAATGATGTGATGTGCATGAAAAGGAGTCCACACTCTGGCTAAATACCATCATTTTATCATGACATGCCAATCAGCTGCAAAGGTGTGAGTTTCCCAAAAGGTTCAGGATAAGGACAGGTGGGGCCACTCATTCAAAAAACCACCTCCCTCCAACATATATAAAATTTGCTAAGCCCTCCACAGCTATTCACAAACATTATCTCATATTTCCCAGCAGAAAAATACGTTTTGGTCTGGCTTATTACCCAAACAATATACAAGGAAATTTTGAACCATTTGACAAAACTTGATGTAGACAGCACTGACTTTGAGCCAAACAATTCGCAAAATTGCAGTTTATAGCCTCCAACCACCCACATTATGTGTTCTTAGCCCTTATGGCTTCTGGGATCATAGCGGTTTGGTCACCACTATCTTTTTCAAGTATGTGCGGAGAGCAGCAACTAAGCACCTAGCGACGACGCAGATCTGTGCATCTCACTCAGACATAGCCCCACACGAAAATCGTTATAACAGTGGTATTCAAAGGCACCTCATACAACAAAGAGTGTCATACTGATTATATATGTGCATACCTGCAGATACCATGAATAGGTATATAATATCCTGGAATCACGCCGCCGCCCACAACCCCACAACGAAACTTGCATTCGGTCCTTTTTCATTTCTCAGGTTCCAACCTGGCACTGCTGTTCCGCTGCAGACAGCTCATGCATGGTATGACGTCATTGGATCATCAGTTTATCCGCATCGCTGTTTGTGATGGCTTACTTGAAGATGTCGAAACGGACAAAACACAGAAATGGAGAGAAACAGATCTTTCTCAACTGTGTGTTTTCAAGAAGGACACGACCAACTCGGTGAAGCGGGTCTTTTGTGTAGCGGGCTGTCGATAAATAACGTACGTTATGCATTTCCTGGCAAGAATGTCTTACGAGACCCTCTTTTATCATGCTTTCTTGTTCTGTGGTTAATAAGGGTTGTTGGGCGCACCGACTGCATAGGTCATATTGCGCCCATAACGTTGTCATTTAGCTACGAGGTGCCTATATACAGCAAAATCAGATTTCCGCAAGGAATGAAAACAGTCAGCCATCTTCAAGAAGTTGCGAGTGATCACAAAGAATGTCACTTAGCGTAAGGGGGGTAGCATTTCGTCCAAAGTAAAGCGATTGCTCCCGGGCGAAATGTGGACAAAGCATTACTACGTGGTGCACGGTAAGAAACGCGGAACAATGAGGGCATCGGGGTCTCTCACCTCCACACAACAAATATCTGTGAGCTTCGTACGTATGGCCAATACGCAGCCTGCAAAGTACAACTTTTTGCCTCGAATCGCGGAAGCTGGAAGACCACAGGCCCAATTTGGGTTTTATGTGTTTCAATTTGCTATTTGTGTCATGATCCCAACAGAGCTGCCACTTGTGTTGCAAGAAAGGTAAAATGGATGGATACAAATTTCGAGCTGGAAGAGGCAATCTGTGCGTACATGGTGCATGTGATGCCCGTTTTGCGGCTGCGTCAGCGAGCTCATTTCCAACGATACCTACATGACTAGGAATCCAACAAAGTATCACGTTCTTTCCAACTCGGTCCAATGCAGTGAGCCGCATCAAAATGTCCTGTAAAAGGGGACAATGGGTTGAAAGTTCTCAAAGCCAAGAGGCCGCTCAAAAAGCCTGTTAAAACAAGGTGCAAGGACTCATTCCCAACTTCAATAAAACAGAGCGCCTTGATTATAGCTACCAGTTCGGAGGTGGATACCGACGCGTGCTTTGACAGTGTAAATGGTCGAGTGACGGTTCCACTTACAAATGTACAGCCGACACCACCACGCTGCAAAGAGGAATGCCACTGGCATCAAGCAGAAGCCTTATCCTGGCGCAACAAGGGGTGTAATGTTGATCCAGACCACCAAGAAACACAGCCGTTGTTCGACGAGAGAAAACTGCAGTAATATGTCGGGTGAGAAGGGAATTGCCGCAGCTTTAGAGCATATCTCTTGCCAAGCATTTCCCGCCTAGCCGACAGCGGCGGCTCGTTGACCTCAACAAGAAAGCTTGCGACAGGTGACGTTCGAAACGTTCCTGTGGTGATGTGGAGCGCTGTGTGTTAGACAGTGCCCAACGGACGCTTGCTTGACTCACTTGCGCTGTCATATACAAAACATGCGTAATCAAGCTTAGAACGGATAAGTGAACGGTATAAAAGCATGAGCGCTTTCATATCCGCACCATATGACGTACGTGCCACACATTTTAAAATGTTCAAAGCTTTAAAGCATCTGTCTCGTAGCGTTTTAAAATGCGCCTTATATGTGAGACGGCTGTCGACATATACCCCAAGGTATCTGGTTACCGAATCAGTAGGAATGGGTTGGTCGTAAAGACGGAGAGCCAGGCCACCGCATTGACGACGGCGACAGAAGCGCGTGGCGACCGTTTTCACGGTGGAAAACCGAAACCCATTAACGGTGCCCCACCTTTCCAGATGGTCAACAGCCAAATGGACCTGGCGTTCCATTACATGCGTCCTTGATGCGCTGGTTCATATGGTGAAATCATCTACGAAGAGAGCGCGGCCGACTGACTGCGGTATGACGTCAACGATGTCGTTTATCATGATAGCAAAAAGCGCCGCACGTAAACGCTTCCCTGAGGCACACCATTCACCTGATGAAAAGGTGCTGACATCTCATTACCCACACGCACACGGAAGACGCGTTCAACCAACAAATTCTTCAAAAAGGTGCCCATATGACCACGTATGCCATGCTTGAAAAGTTTTAAGAGGATACCACGTCGCCACGTGGTATAGTAAGCGGCTTCAAGATTGAAAAATACAACACCTACATGACCTTTCCCTTTGAAACCTTGCTGAATCATAGCATCGAGTGTTGAAAGGTGGTCCACCGTGCTACGATTCTTCCTAAAACCGCACTGTGCGTAAGTAAAGACGTCATGCTGTTCTAAGAACCATGTGAGTCGGACGTTTACCATTTTCTCCATCAACTTACAGAGTGACGATGTAAGTGCGGTGGGTTGATAATGTCGGGGATTTAAACCACTCTTCACTGGTTTCAGAAGAGGGGCCAGAGTAGCCTGACGCCATGAGAACGGAAAGTCGCCGCTGACCCAAAGTGATTTAAGATTGTTAGCAAAATTGTCAACAGGCTACCAGGAAGATGCTGAAGCATGTTGTTATGCACACCATCAGGGCCCTCTGACACGCACCGCAGCATGTCGATAGCATGCTTTAATTCGACCATGGTAAAGAGATCGTTATATGCCATGTCTTTGGTGGAAGCAAAGTCTATATGTGTTTCTTCGTGTCGCATTCTATCGCAAGCAAACTGCCGTTGCGTACTGACACCACGGCTGCGCCCCGAGATTGCTCGGTCAATCTCGTTTGCAACATCCACTGGATGTATGACGTCGTGACCATTTACGTGTAGTACGGGGCGTAGGGTAGAGCAGAACTGATCGGAAGTTCGCTTGATCCGTGACCAGACCTGGGCAGTAGGTGTGAGACGGGTAAGTGTGCGGACGTAATCACGCCACGAATTGCGCTTCGCCCCCCCCCCCCCCCCTGATCGTTCGACGCGCGAACGCCCTTGCTTTCTTAAACGCAATCAGATTGGCCGTGCTGCCCCTTAGATCGAAAGCTCGAAAAGCGCGTTTGCGAGCACGGATGGCGTCACGACACTCATCCGTCCACCACGAAACGGGCGTGCGGCGTGGATTACATGAAGTGCGGGGGATGCACCCGTCAGCACATTTCAAAAGCAGGGCATTGAAATTCTCTGCAGAGGTAGGCACACTCACAACACGTGTGGAAACCGACGCTTCCAGTCGAGCTTCAAAGCTCTTCCAATCAGCCTTTTTGAAATCCCAACGCTGGGTCCTGGTGCCTGGCACCCCAGGACTTCGGAATCTCAACCACACCGGAAAATGGTCACTGCCTAGTGGATCGTCGGCCACTGTCCACTCCAGGTGCGGCATAAGCTGTGGGCTACAAAGGCTGAGATCAAGGGTTGATGTCCGCCCGGAAGGAAGAATAAAATGCGTTGGCTGTCCGGTGTTTAGAATGCACAGGGAAGCACCGTGTATAATGCTCTCGCACGACCTCCTGCGAGTGTTTGTTTCATCACAGCCCCGGGCGGTGTGATGGGCGTTAAGGTCTCCTAATACTAAGATTGGCGGAAGAATCCCAACCATCAGGCGCCTGAGCCCCAATGATGGAAAACTGGCGCCAGGTGGCAGGTACAGAGGGCAGACTGTGATGATGCGACCGTTGAAATGAACACGTGCTGCTACAACCTGAAGCGACGATTTCAAGTCAAGCCTTCGAGCTGGCAGGCTGTGGTGAATGGCCAGGAGGACACCGCCGTGCGTAACAGTGTCAGCAGGCACGTCACTGCGGAATACTGCGTAGCCTTTTAACGCAAAGAAGGAGTTCGGCGCCAGTTTTGTTTCTTGCAGAGCAACAGCTGCGGGACACTTCTGGCCAATCTCAGCCTGGAGGTTGAGCGCATTAGCCCTTACTCCCCTGCAGTTCCACTGTAAAAACATCTGTAAAAGGACGTGCTAAAAAGACGTAAAATATCTCACGCTAAAAAGATGAGATTTAAAGGGATTGCACCGGTCCAGATGAAGAGCCAGATTTCTCAGATTTGGAGCCCAGTTCCACAGACTGGTACCCCAGCCTGAGGCGGGACCTTGGGTTACCCCGTCACTTGAGGATAAGGGCCCAGATGGGACACGCTTGGAGCCAGCATATCCCGTGCGTGGTGGTGGCGGAGGAGGGGCCATCACTGAGTCCCTGCTTACCACCTGGTGCCGAGGTGGAGCCTCAACCGGTCTTCGCGGTGAGGGAATATTGCTCCGGGGAGCAGGCTCCTTGCCCGCTCCTGACAGCCTGTTGGCTGCTTTGGCCGGCTCCAGCTCAGCCAGGCGCGCCCCCTTAGCCTCACGGGCGCGCCTGTCTGCCTCGTGACGCTCTAGGGCTTCAAGCGCTCTTCGAGAAGTGCTCGCGACCGGTGTCACTGGAGATGACGACAACTGGGTGCCGGATGGTGAGGCCGGTGAAGTCCGCAGGCCCCGGCCACGCTGAACGACCATCCATCCCTCTCCCTCCGCCGGCGCGTCAGATGGTGCCGCGGAGGTCGGCACCATGGCGGGCACCGGGCGCTCCGGCACCGGGGAGGGGTGACACGGCAAGGTAACAACTGGCGAGCTGGCCTGCGCCTCAGAAGGGGCGCAGGGTGCCAACGACACGGGGGACGATGATGTTGCCGATACGGTGGTGTGCACCTGGGACGCCGGTACAACAGATAGCCCGAATGATATAAGTAGTTTAATTAGTTGCGTTCCAGTCAGCTGATCTAAGGAGATTTCATGTGCCACAGGAACTTGGGCTGCTGTGGCATATGATGTCTTAGGATGGCTCAGTTCATCTGTACCCTCGCTTCAAGAAATGAGATGTTTTTCGTGGTTTTCAGTGCAACAATCCCCTTCTCTCTGGCGTACGGCGGACAGGCACGATCGAAAGTAGAATGAGGTTTTTGGTTTTTCCCACAGTTCACACACCATGGACTCGCTGCATTGCACTGATCACTCGGGTGCTCTGGAGAAGCACACTTACCACATGCTGGCTGGTTATGG